GGAGGGGGAGGAGAGGGGAGGAGGAGGAAGGGAAGGGAAGGGGGAGGAGGGGAGGGAGGGGGAGGGGGGGGAGCATGGACAATGGACAATATCATGTCATATCCTCCTGATGTGCGATGGGATGATGTTGTGATGGTGGTGATGATGCCCTGGTTGCGGGCTTTGCTCCTGCCCGTCTCCAAGTCGCCCCCCCCTCCTCTTCCCCTCCTCCTTCCCCTCCCCTCCCCTCCCCCTCCCCCTCCCCCTCCCCCTCCCCCTCCCCCCTCCCTCCCACCCACCACTTGTCTGTGCGAGAATGGCCATGAGTGAGAAGCGCATTCTGTTTGTGAGGTATGTTCACCATGTGTTGTGTGCGTATGTGGTGGATGGGTTTGGCGTGGGTAGGGGTGGGTGGGTGGGTAGGGGTGGGTGGGTGGGGCGTGGTCGACTCACTCTGGCGGGGCGCGCGCGCTGTTGTTGGCTGTTGGCTGTTGGTTGTTGGTGGCTGCTGGGATCGGGGGCTTTTGGCTGATGGTGGCTGTTGGCTGTTGGCTGTTGGCTGTTGGCTGTTGGTTGTTGGTTGTTGGTTGTTGGTGGCTGCTGGGATCGGGGGCTGTTGGCTGATGGTGGATGTGGTCTGGCGTCGGGTGGGCTGTGATCTGGCGTCGGGTGGGCTGATGGTGGCTGTGATCTGGTACTGGGTGGACTGACTGCTACTCATTGCTGGTGTGAATTGATGACCGGCTGTTGATGTGTTTACAGAAACCTGCCGTTCAGCATCTCGCCCGAGGAGCTGTACGAGACGTTTGGCCAATTCGGTACGGTCCGTCAGATCCGGGTGGGCAACGAGCAGGCGACGCGCGGACAGGGGTATGTGGTGTACAACGACGAGTCTGTGGCTGCCGCCGCACTCTCAGTGCTCAACGGGTTCCGGGTCGGCGGACGATACATTGTGGTCTCGTATTTTGCGCCGCAACTCGCGCAGCGCAAGCCAATGACCCAGGACGAGCTGCAGAAGCGCCGCGAGGAGCTGGAGGCGCTGAAGGAAAAGTACGGGCTGGACGACGAGGGCAACGCGCTCGACGAGTGAGGGCGGTCCGGTCGGCCGGTCCATTGCTACGTTTACCGGCGGCGGTGGCGAGCACGTTTGGTGCGGACCTTCTTGGAGGTGCGGCGACCCAGGTCGGCCTTGAGCCGACGGTCGACCATGCGGTAGGAGCGAGTGACCGACTTGCCGCCACGGGCCTCGGCGCGCTTGCCGATGACGAGGCGGCGCTTGGGCTTGTCGACAGCCTTGTTTCCGGCACGGTAGAGGCGCTCGATCATGCGCGCGCGCGAGGTGGCGGAGAGGTCGGTGTCGTTGGCGATGGCGGTGACCTGGCGCTTCATCTTCTCGAGCTTGATGACGGCGCGCATCTTCTTGCGGGCCTTGGCCTCGGCGACGCGCTTGATGGGCCGGGCGTTGACGGCCTTGTGCAGGTGCTTGAGCTCGGCCACCATCTCCTTGGTGATGGGCAGCGAGGGCTGGTTGTTTTCGGCGAGGTAGTCCTCGTACCAGGACGGCAGGTTGTCCTCGTTGTGGGCCCGCCGGTTGTACGACTTGTCGATGAGCGACTCGCGACGCTTGCGGGCGGCCATCTCCTTGGCCAGCGCAAGGTACTCGGCCTTGTCGTCCGAGTCTGAGAACGACATCGGGTCCTGCGGGACGACCTCAAACTCTGTCACCCCGTCGGACTCGGACTCGGGCTCATCAGACGACGAGTCATCGCCAGACGAACCGAGCACGATGCGGCGCGGGTCGTGGCGCTCGGGCTCGCGCTTGCGCTTGCGCGACGGCTCGGCAGCAGCAGAAGCAGCCGTAGCCACCGGCGCACGCTCGCCCGAGCGTCCGAGCGGCGCAGCCGCGGGCGGCACGCCGCGCATCTCGGCAACAACCTTGTCGGCGTCATCGTCAACCTCGAGGCCCTGGAACAAATCGGAAGAAAAGACATCGTTAGGGTTGGCAAGGCCGGAGCGGCCGGTAATGAGCGTGTTGGCATCGGCGGCGACAGCAGCGGCAGCGGCGCGGCGCTTTTGCAACTCGGCAAAGAACTTGGCGTCGGACGACTCGGACGAGTCGTCGTCAGACGATTCGTCGGCGTCGTCATCGGCATCGTCGTTGGACGAGTCGTCGTCGTCCGAGGAGGAGAGGATGTTGCGGTCGACGTTGGGGCGGAGGGCCGCGATGGCCTCGGCCTCCTCGGTCAGGCCCATCTCACGGGCCTTAAGGTCCATGTACAGCTCGGTGGAGATGCCGAGCTGGCGGACACGCTTGATCTTCTTACCGACGCGGACGCGAGGCGTGGCGCGCTGCTCGCGCTCGACCTTGTCGGCGTGATACGCCTCGAGGTCGGCCTCGACCTGAGTGTCGTAGTCGAGGCCCTCGAGCGGCTCGGTAGCGCCGGGTGGCGCCTCGGTGTCGTTGCGGACGCCCTTAGGCAGGTAAACGTCGGCAACCTCCTCGTCGTCGACGGCAGCGAGCGCGGCGTCACTGTCGCCGATGATGGCGTTGACGTCCGTCTGCGTTGGCATCGTTTCGAGCGAGAAGAGCGAGGCCTCAGCCGGTGTCTCAATCACATCGCCGGCCGGCATGGCGAGCGTCAAGTGCTGGCGATACTTGGCGAGACGGGACCGCGTCTTGCGCTTCTTGCGCTTCTCGATGGCGCGCATGCGCTCCTTGAACCGCTCCATCTCGACGGCGAGTACGTCCTCGTCGGCGTTGGCCAGCTCGGCAAGGCTCAGATCGGTCGTCGTCACCTCGACCTCTTCGGTCTCGGGCTTGGCGTCAAGGCCCATAAAGGCGCGCATCGACTTGCGCCAGCGGAGAACGCGCTTAAAGTCGCTCTTGGAGAGAACGCGGAGGTCGGCGACGCACGCGAGGATCTCGTCGGTCGTCTTCGGGTGGTTGATGTAAACCTTGGACTCGGCGTCGGTCGTCGTCAGCTTGTTGTTCTCGGCGAGGACAGTCATCGGGTTGAGCGAGTCGACAAAGAACGCCAGCGGCACTTCCTTGTACAGAAGCGACCCGACATCGTCGGCATAGCCAGTCCGGTGGCGCTTCTGCTTGTTGTTGAAAATGTCCGGGACGGTGGCGTTGGGCGCAACGTCGGCAAAGATCGACGAGGCCTCAAACATCCGCGGATCGATCGAGTCAGGCGCCTTGAAGTCCTGGCAGACGACGAAGATCTCGGCAGAGACGCCACGTGACGACGGCGGCTTGGTCGCGTCGACCTTGTTGAACAGCTGCTGGAAGACCCAGATGAGGGCATTGTAGTCCTTGGAGCGGAAGACCTTGGTCACAAACGTGCCGCCGCGGGTGAGAAACTCGGACGCCAGCTTGCACGACTCGAGGACTAGGCACGCCTGCGAGTACGCGTCGTGCGTCCAGTCCTTACCCATGTTCGGCGCACCATCATGCAGGAACACGTCGGCCTTCCAGCCCTTGAGGAAACCTGCAATCTCCTTGCGGCACCGCGGCGTGGTGATGTCCGCAACAAGTGTCGTCACGCCCTTGATCGGCTGGATCGGGTCGAGATCAATGCCCATCACCAGCGAGCTCATCGGCATGTACTTGGTCGCCACCTGGAGCCATCCGCCGGGCGCAGCACACAGATCAATGCACACCCGCGCTGACGAGAGGAACTCATACTTCTTGTTCAGCTGGATCAGCTTGTATGCCGCACGCGAGCGGTATCCTTGTTCCTTGGCCAAGTGGTAGTATGTGGAGACGTCAACGGCGAAGAGTCAATAGGAAGCGCACAGGAAGGAAGAGTGAGAGATAACGATGCAGAGATCGGGCGAGATAAAACGATGCAGAGATCGGGCGAGATAAAGCGATGCAGAGATCGGGCGAGATAAAACGATGCAGAGATCGGGCGAGATAAAACGATGCAGAGATCGGGCGAGATAAAGCGATGCAGAGATCGGGCGAGATAAAACGATGCAGAGATCGGGCGAGATAAAACGATGCAGAGATCGGGCGAGGCAACAAAGACAAATGGGGAATACAAAAGGATGCAGAGATCGGGCGAGGCAACAAAGACAAATGGGGAATACAAAAGGGACGCAAATGAGTGGGCCTATGCGAGAGAGGGGAAGATTGCGGAGGAGACTGCCGGACAGGGGGACCATAACAAGGACCTTGACCGACGACGAGTGCATGAGCACGTGCATTAACAAACAAGTTGGAAACAAAGATAGTACACCCATATAGGATGCGATTGGTGATGTGGTTGGACGGGCAAGTGCCCGCATGCGCCCATGCCTGGGGGGAATGGGCCTCCCCTGGCTTCCCCCCGGAGGATGGATGGCAGGATGATGACAAGCCGAACCGACTGGAGGGGAAGGGGGGGGGGGGCAGGAGGGGGTGGGGGACGGAGGGGATAAGGGGAAGAGAGGGAAGAGAGGGGGGTAGGGTATGATCTCAGAGTCGTTCCACAGACAGAGAACATGGTTATGCACAGACATCCTTCCTTTCTCGTATCTCTATGGCTGTACAGCACGCCACTCATCCATGGACGGCGAGTAGCCAACATGCTCCCCAACCCCCAGACTCCAAAGATTAATTCATCAAGAGTCAATCATTGGCTGGGGGAGGTGGGGGGGACACTGCCAGCTGCACCCTTCCATGGATGGGCTTGCCATTCAACGATCGGGATGCGGGAAAGGGAAGGGAATCACAGGGGTGAGGAAGGGGGGAGAGAGGATGGGGAAGCTTAGTGCGACTGGATATTTGTCAAGGCGGCCTTTTCCCTTCTTCTGCTTCTTCGAAGGCATGGTGAGCGGGGAGTGAGGTCTACCCAGTTGAGTCGCCAACACCGCCTCGAGTTGGTCGGCCAGTCGGTCGGTCGGCTTACCCTGTCCCTCCTCCTCTGACCAAGTCGACTCCATCATGCTCGACAATCGGCCGATAATATTCATTATCCCGTTCCTTTCCGTCCGATTGGATGTTGTGGCGGACGAGTCGCCGCCATGGTGCGAGGCTGTAGCATCGGCTTGATAACGGAGGAGCTGCGCAACACTGTGACGGTCGCAGCAAGTGTCGGGTCCGAGGTCGCGTCTGCAAGAGAGCCCGGGCAAACGTCTTCCTATCTATCCCCATCCTCAAATCGCCGCATAGTACGACCATTCAGCCGCTGATACGCGCGGGTCCGATCCACATGTCACTGTGGTGCTATGTCTGGTTGCCGCGGCGAAGCTTCCATTTGGCGAGGTCATCGCTGTCGGCCACGCGTCATTGCTGTTGCAACGCCGAGCACTCGTCTCCACCATTATCATGGCGACAACGCCGACATCGAGTCGCGCCAACCCACTGGGAAGCGCGGCAGAGACAGAGCGGATGGCGAGGCAGTGGAGCGAGGCGCTGCGTGGATGCCGGACCGAGTCTGTGGTACTGGCGACCAAGTTTGATCGGCTGCGGGCTGTGATAGTGGCGCATGTGCAGAGCGGGATGACGAGCGATGCGGAGAGCGACGTCGACATCGCAGTGTTCCATGAGGCCTTCCCTTTTGCCATCTGCATGTTGGACCAGCTTGTCAAGACGCCCCAGTTGTCAGAGTCTGCCGACGAGCTGCGAGACATGGTCTCTCGGACCAAAGACGCGCTCGCCGACGAGGGCTGGTCGTTTGGCGGCTTGATGGCCATGATCGGCACCATCTTCACTCTCGCGCCGTACGCCGCCTCTGCGCTTGTGCATCCTCGCGAGAGTGCGAGCAGCGATGAACGCGACGGCGTCTCCGACGCCAATCGCTGGTCCTCTGTCCTCCGCAACTGCCAGGGCGAGATCGACACTGTCCGCCATCGCATCGCCGACGCTGACTCCAGTGGAGGCGGTGACGACACCACTGACGAGATGGACGCTCGCACAGAGGCTGCCATGCAATCGCTTACCAAGTGTGTGCTGAATGCCGTGGCTCCGGTCGAGTTTGGCGCGTACCTCCGCTCATGCGAAGAGCGCGGCTGCAAGGTGTTTGACGAGTGCGACGACGCCGACGTCCCACCTGAGCTCATCCTAGCCTTTGACAAAGTCACCTCGGCCATGATTCATCACCTACTCTGACTCGATGTGGCTCATCGGCCGTGTTGGTCACGGGCTGCCAGTCAAGACTGGCGGATGGCGGCGGCGGAGGTGGCGGCGTCGCCAATAACGTTATTCAATGAAAACACGATTATTCCAAGCAGCTGGTTTGCACTCTTCTCTCTCTCACGGTGCCACAGCATGGCCATCGACCACATTCCGGATGCGGAGGAGATGAAGACGCTCGGTGAGCCGCACCATTACGACGCCAACTTCAAGGGGCCGATTGTGGAGCGGCAGTGCCGGGACGTGCTCTTCCTTCTGCTCTTCATTCTCTTTATCATTGGTATGGGTGTTGTCACCGTCATCGCCTACCGCATCGGCAACCCAAGCGGTACGTTCCCCACGCCCCCCACGCCCCCCACCCCCTCGCCCTGCCCCCAAGCAGGGGAAGAGTAGCGACAGTATGGGAAGAAGACGCCATACAATCCATGGTGTACATGTTGTACACCACCATGGAACCTTGTGTATGGTCATAAGGACAGCGTAGCCCCTCCGCTGCCGACCATGCCCGCACCGCGCCTGCCCCCACCGCATACCAGGAAAACGCCATTGATCACACCTCGATCGCGCGCCGTTTTGATCAGCCGGCTCGCCCTGGTTCCACCGGGCCCCGGGAGCGGTATGCGGTGCGGGCATGGCCAAGCGAAGATGCTGGGTCGCTCTCCACACTCTGGCATGGTGCGCAAACAGAATGGGCTCCTCCTTCTCCTCTTCTGGAGAAAAAAATATCCCAAAGCCCATGGCCCACTGGCTTTGGCCGCTCTTATGAGGCGGTGGCGTACTTTGGCGTACCTTTATCGTACACTGGGGGAAGAGGGTAGAGGTAGAGGGCGAGGAGAACGACTCACGGGAGTGAGACGGGGCGGGGGGCACGTTGGGGATGAGGACAGGATTTTGTACGGGACGGATGCAGACGGCAATGTGTGCGACACCAAGAACTCTGATTTGCGCAACGGCATCGACATGCGTGGGCGGCCGTTTGTGTTTTTCGGCAACCCTCTCAAGCCGTTCCGTGACGAGATCTGCGTGAAGAAGTGTCCTGTGGATAACGTCAACATTTTTGCGTTGTCGTACGACAAGGACAACATTTATTGCCGCAACGGCTACACCGGCAACAAGCCGCGGACAGACATCCTGTACATGGGATGCACCGGCGACTGCCCGTGCTTCCCGGGCTACTCGTCGACGCCGATCCTGCGGCGGTGTATTCCTGCGCCGGGCTCCGAGACTGTGACCAACTCGTCAGACACGACAAACATCATGGACAAGATCAACTCGACGGAGCTGTCGCGGCAGATCATGGCAGACATCAACGCTGCCAAGTACATCATTCTGTTCCTGGCGGGCGTGGCTGTGGTGCTCTCGTTCTGCTGGCTTCTCCTTCTCAAGACCTTTACTGGGTGCCTGGTGTGGACGACGATTATTCTCGTTTCCGTGCTCTCTATCACGATCTCGACGCTGCTGTGCATGGAGGCCAAGGAGGCGCGCGACGAGCACAACGACGCCAAGCGCAAGGGCGTGGACACGGTCGAGTCGCAGCTGCAGTACCGGACGATGACGGCGTTTGCGGTGATTGCGACGGTGGCGACGGCGGTTCTGCTCATTGTTGTCCTCACCATGCGCAACAAGATCCGGCTGGCGATCCAGATCATCAAGGAGGCCGGGGCGGCGCTGACGTCGATGCCGTGCTTGTTCTGCGTCCCGATCTGGACCTTTGTCATTCTTGGCCTCTTCTTTGCGTACTGGATCGCGACGGCGCTGTACCTGGCGACGGCCGGCGAGCCGCTGTATGACCCGGAGACGGGCGAGTTTGTGACGTACAAGGCGTCCAAGGACGTGCGGCGGATGCAGGCGTACCACGTCTTTGCCCTCCTCTGGGTCCTCGCCTTTATCCTGGGCATTCACGAATGCACCATTGCCGGCTCGATCGCCACGTGGTACTTTTCGCACGACAACAAGGTCAAGGGCTTCCCCATCCTGCGGTCGCTCAAGCGGACGCTGCGGTACCACACCGGGTCTGTCGCGCTCGGCTCGCTCATCATTGCCATTGTGCAGTTTATCCGTGTTTGCATCGAGTACGTCCGCATGCAGCTCAAAGGCAAAGACAACGACTTTGTCCGCTTCCTCCTCCGCTGCCTCGCGTACCTCTTTGCCTGCCTCGACCGCTTCCTTCGTTTCATTTCGCGGAATGCATACATCCAGATCGCGATCTACGGCGAGTCGTTCTGCACCTCGGCCCGCGAGGCCTTTGCCCTCCTCATGCGTAACGCGTGGCGCCTCATTGCTGTCCAGTTCATCGGCGACTTTGTCATCAACCTCGGCAAGCTTGTGGTGGTCGTCATCGTCGCCATTGTCGCCTTCTTCATGCTCCGCGGCAAAGACGAGCTTGGCCTCCGCGAGGGCATCGAGCTCAACTACTGGGCCATTCCCTTTATCCTCATCTGTGTCCTCGCCTTTGCCGTTTGCACAGCTATGATGGGGCTCTACGAGCTGGCCATCGACACCATCTTCCTCTGCGCCATGGAAGACTTTGAGCGCAACGACGGCTCGCTTGACCGCCCCTACTACGCTTCGGAGCCGCTGACCAAGCTCCTCAAGGATAACGAGAAGCGCAAGATGGACACCGATCTTGGCAAGGACAACATCTAGTCGCTTGCACCATTTCAGTGAACTTGAACATATCGAACGGATGTCAGCGTGAGCCCCGACCCAGACTCGCCCGAGCTACCTGTGCCTACTCGTTGCCAACCGGCCACGCACCCCCCTCCCCCCCCTCCCCCCCCCTCCTCAACCCAGCATGGAGCCGCAACATGTCTTTCCACACGTCGATGGGTACACCATTGTCCGGCAGCTCGGGAGTGGGACGTACGGAACGGTATTCCTCGCCACGGCGAGCCGCCGTTCATCATCATCGTTGGAAGTGTCATCAACGGCCGGATGGTCAAGGTTATCAAGGCAAACATTGTCTTCATCGCCGTTGCCATCGCCGCTGGTGGCCATCAAGCTGGTGCCGCTTGGACATGCAACGTCGATGGATCAAGTGGCGGCAGCGCTCAACGAGGCGGCAGTGACGTCGGACGTGGCGCACCACCCGTGCGTGGTCGACTTTATGTCGTCGGCGCCGACAAGGGTCCGCGGCATGGCGGCAATGGTGCTGGGGTATGCTGATGGCGGATCGCTTGCGGATGTGATGCGGAGCGCGTATTCGCGACGGAAGTCGCTCACACCCGCGGTGGCGATGCACTTTGCCACGCAGCTGGCGCTGGCGCTCAAGCACGTGCATGATGCCGGGTACGCGCATCTGGATCTCAAGCCGGCTAACGTGCTGCTTGCATCGGCGCAGGCTGGCATGGTGGCATCGTCGGCTCGGTGGAAGGCGGCGAACCGGTTGGGCCGGCAGCAGGCGGTGGTCAAGCTCTCGGACTTTGGCGTCGCGGCTGTGGCACCCGGGCCTGGCGAGCCGCGGCTTACCGGTCTCGCCGGCTCGCCGCCGTACATGGCACCGGAGATGCTATCAGGCGCGGGGTACGGGCGTGAGGCCGATGTCTTTTCGTTTGGCGTCCTCCTGTACGAGCTCCTTGCTGGAGGCGTGCGGCCGTTCCCGGGCACCACGCTTGAGACGGCCGGAAGAGCGATTCTCACGCAACGACCTGCTGCACTTCCGCCTCACGTACCGCGGGAGCTGGCAGCGATTGTGAAGGCGATGCTGCGCAAGGATCCGGCAGCACGACCGACATTTGCAGACATTCTTGTTTCGCCGCCGTTTGCGGCGGCGCTCGAGGTGTTGACCGCTCCGGACGGCGCGCTGTCGGAGGAGCGATTCGGCGCCGATGGCAGCTATCTCGGTAACGTGGCGGCGCTAGAGCCGGTCCCACCGTTGTCCGAGCCGCCAGTTCTTTCCGGAGGAGACGGCAACAGCGGCGATGGCGACGATAGCAGGCGCTACGCGCGCAAGCCGCTGACTCCGCTGGGCGAGATTGGGCGGATCGAGCGACGTCCGCGGCTCGGCTCAGCGCCAAGCCTCTTCTCGCCGCCGCTTGTGGCGCCGCCGCCGCGGACGATGCTGGCGCGGCCGTCGTCGGCGTCGCGGCTTGCGCGGATGGTCCAGACTCCGACCGCGGTCCTTGACGATGCTATCGGGCTGGCCACGGTTGGGCATGTGGCCGTAGCACCACGACGGCGGTCACCGCGGCGGATGATCCACCGCGTCCCCGTTGCACGGGCCTCACGCCCCGGCCGCCAGCACACGCCCGCATCCCCGTCTCCGAATCGGTCTGCTTCGCGATCTCGTCCGCGCCACTGATCGTCACCGAACACGCCTTGCTACCTGCGTGGTCCTTGTTGATTGAACCAGCGAGGCTCATCCCCCTTCAATCGATCCCCCCCCCCCCCCCCCTCCCCCTCGTCCGCGATCTTGATCATGATCATGATCAGGATCAGCCCACCCGATCAACATCAACCGACACCACCCCACCTCACCCCCTCCCCCCCCCTCTCCCCCCCCCACCATGCGGGTTCGCGGACCTACGCTTCGCCCCCCAACCCCCCCATGTGTACCCATGCCTCTCTTCCGCCCCACTCCCTTCAACGCCCCTCCTGTCCGCCCTCCCACCTCCGCCACCGCCACCACCACCACCACCGCTCCTTTGGCAAGCCGCACGGCCATGGCGATGACCACCGACTCGGCAAGTCGCCTCCAATGCGACTTGGCCGCATCCGCATCGTCATCCTCCACGCTCTCGCCAGACAACTCTGTTAGCCCTCTCGCTCGATCGCTCGCTCGCTCATCTGCTCGTTTGTGCACACTCGCTCCTCCTCGTCTCAGCTCGTCATCACTATCATCATTGTCATCATTGTCATCATCGTTGTCGTCGTTGGCTGCAGACGACAGCGGCTTTGTCTCGGCTTGGTCAGAGGTGGCCAGCATCCGCTGCGTGACTTTCCAAGAATGCTTCCCATCTGTGCTTCTATTGAGGAAGCTGTGCGTCGTCTGAGGAAACGGCTGCGGTCGCCAGAGCCTGATGATCTTGCGCCTGAGGCTCGCCTGGCGGACGATGGAAGTGCTCCGCTGGTGGCTATGGACATTGCCGGCGAAGAGCCGCCGCCGGCGGGCACGTGTGGCAGCGACGAATCGGCCTGGCCGCATCCGTCGCCGACCAAGCGGCAGGCAACGCTCGGAGCTGGCCTGCGGACGCCTTCGCCCCCGGTTTCGGTGCCTGGTGCAAGGTCACCATCGGCCTCGTGGTCGAGCTCATACAGCTCACCAGCGCCGCATCCGCCACCGGCGCAGTCGCGGTCTGCGTTCTCGGCCACCCGCGCCGCCGGACCAGCCCGCCACGCGCTCCTCTCCCACTTGACCTACCCCTTCAGTTCCGATGACGAGCACCACGCCCTGCCGGCGGTGTCTGCCCCAACGGCGATGCCCGCTTCGTCTCCGCCAGCATCTCCGCCATCCGCGTCCAAACGTCGTCGCGAGCCGCTGGCCGTCTTTGGCGCCGCCGGAGGGCCGCCCAAGCGGGCGCGGCTGCTCCACGCCCGACCGCGGAGGCCCCAACCTGAACTCAGCTGCTGATTCTCCCGAGCGTACCCCTTCCAGCGTTTACTCACGTTGACAGGTAGTGCTACCAGTGTCGTCTGTTTTGGTCGGCTCTCCCACACCTCATCCTGGGAAACATCCGCCATCCGCACGATTTGCAGGTAGCCGTCGGCATGCAACGGCTTGTGGTGTGTGGCACGTGAGACTCTGATTAATAATGAGTCGACCGGGGGACCCCGACCAAGTTAAACCTTTCGGCCCGGCCATGCTCAGTTATGGACTCTCTCAATCCTTCTCATATGGACCATGCCCCCCCCCCCCCCCCCCCCCCTCCCTTGTTCATGCAAACACGCGTCCTGTTGTTCTCTCTCTCGTCATTGCCATACCAAGGGGGAAAAAATAGAATACTTTGTAATTTGGTGAACAACACTCTCGGTTGCCGGCCAAGCGGTCGTTATCGTCGCGCATAGTCATCAAAAGGGTAGGCGGGCGGGTTCCCGCTTCGTCGGAGCCGACTGTGTCGACGCCATCAGAACTCTTAGCTATGTAAGGTGTCAGCCGCTTCGCTTCGCTCAGCCGGCCGCGAGTGTTAGCGACTGGTAGCAGTCGCAGCAATACTTTGTCGTTTTGTTGTTCCTCACTGGCAAGACGATTTCAATTTGTTAACATTGCTCTCGAATTGCCGCAATGATCGTTCCCCAAACGTTGCTCATGGTGGCTGTGGTAGTCGGCGCAGCAGTCATGCTCGTGCATGAGGGAGAAGCGCAAGCGTCACTTCCGGAAGTGCTTCAACTTCGTATGAATATCTTTCTCTCAAGTTCCGAGTTTGTAACTGGCCCAGGCATTGCCTTTGGTGTCCTTCTTGCTCAGTTCAACGGGCGGGCCAACCGAACGTCGGAAGTTTTGCTTCAGCCGCAAGTCTTTCCTGCGGAAATCGCGGCGTACACTCCTTGGCTCAATGCCATTACCGGGCCAGACGTGGTCGAGGTCTATCTCGGTGGCGGAGGCCTTGATCTCCTCTCGAGTGACAACTTTGAAGACGTGACCGACATCTGGACAAACTCCTCGCTTGACCTCGATCTCTTGCCGGCGGCCATGGCCAGTTCGACCGGCGCCGATGGTCGGCGGTACGGCGTCCCGCTGATGGGTGATGCCAACGTATGCGTGTACTCCAAGTCGGCATTTGCCGCCATGGGCATCACCGCCACACCCAACACGTGGTCCGAGCTCAAGGCCCTCTGCAGCGTGTTTGTGGCTGCTGGCAAGCCGTGCCTCGGCACCGGCTACGACGCCATCCCGTCGGTCTACTTTGACTACATGTTCATCCGGATGCACGGCAACGCGGCATACGAGCAGTTCTTTAACGGCAATGTCTCGTTCACCGATCCACGGGTCAACGCTACCTTTAACGTTCTCATGGAGCTCAAGGACATCGGTGCGATGATGCCGGATCCGACGTCCGGCGCTGCCTACAACGTCGCTGATCTTGTCAACGACACCATTCCGATCTACTGCGGCTTTGAGATGATGACTGTCTCGCCGCTGCAGCAAGGTGCCAACACGTCGAACCTTGACGTGTTTCCTTTTCCGTCGTACGACGGCGAGCTTGGGACGGCTGGGCCGTCCGAGCCGACCAATGCCATCCTCGGCCTAGTTGGCACGTACGCCATTCCCAAGAACGCACAGTACAAGAGCTACTCGCACGAGTTCCTCACCTACGCAACCAATCCGACGGTGCAGGCCGGCATGCTCTCCTACGCCACATCGGGCTTTATTCCTCGATTTTCGATGGGGTCGTACGTGGTGCCGCCCCGGGCCAAAAAGGTGTACAGCGCCGTTCTTGCCGCGGACGCGATGCTCTTCCGCTCGTTTGCGGCCTTTGGCTTTGCCTCTGTCACCGGTGACTGGTGGCGTATCATCTACACCTTTGAGGCCATGCCGACCCGCGCCATGGCACAGGGGTACCTCAACACAGCTCTGGCGGCGATCGAGGTGGAGCGGCTGGCGGCGGTGCTCAAAATGACGGTCGAGCCGGTGGCGGATCCGCTTCCGGGCACGTACTCTGACGCTGTGAGAGTCTCGCTGTCATCGCCGACCACGGGTGCCGTGGTGTACTACACGCTCGACGGGAGCGAGGTCAACCTGGGCTCGCCGGTCTACAGTGGGCCGATCACCATCTCGTCGTCTGGGACGACGCGAGTGCGTGCCATTGCGCTCGCACCAGGTCTCCGTTTGTCGACCGAGCTCGTGGGAGACTATGTACTCAACATTGCGTCGGTCAAGGACGACTCGAGTGCACGGCTCCTGCTGTACATCCTCATTCCTTCGCTGCTCCTTGTTATTTGTGTCGGCGGCGTCGTCGGCTACGTCATCTACCGGCGCAAGTCTGTCACGTACCGGCTCAAGTCGGACTCGGACCTTGTGCTTAACTCGGAGGACATTGACATTGGGCGTGCCATTGGTGAGGGCTCGTTCGGCACGGTGTACATGGGTTCGTGGCGCGGAACGGCTGTGGCTATTAAGCGGACCAAGACCAAGGTGATGAAGCCTGCACAGCTGAAGGAGTTTGTTGACGAAGCCGGTATGCTGCTCCGGCTCCGGCACCCGAACATTGTCATTTTCATGGGTGTCACGCTCGAGCCGCCGCAGCTGGTTACCGAGTTTATGGACCGCGGCTCGCTCTATGACATCATCCATGCGCCGGACGTCTTCCTCGACACCTCGATTATCTTCAAGTGGTGCCACAACATGGCGCAGGGTCTGTTCTTTCTGCAGCAGTCTGGTGTCACCCACGGCGACTTCAAGTCGCTCAACGTGCTCTTTGACTCCAACTGGGTGCCCAAGATTTGCGACTTTGGTATGTCGTCGGTCAAGGGTGAGGCTGGCCTTGTTGCGCACGCAGCGTCGGAGCTCAAGGCGGCCGGCAAGGGCAAGAAGAAGAAGACAGCCAAGGTGACACCAGCAGACGCTGCTGCGGCGGCGGCAGCGGGTGCGGGCGGTGACAGCAGTCGCTTCGGCTCGCTCAGCTCCAACTCGCCGTTTGTCTCGGCCACCTCGTCGTTCTCATCGCGAATGGGAACTTCGCGGTCGACTGCTGGCGGCAAAGGCAACGACTCGGGCATGGGCAACGTGGGCACGCTGTTTTGGGCGGCACCCGAGGTGCTGACCCAGGGTGGCGCGGCAGCGTCGGCGGCGTCGGACGCGTACTCTCTCGGACTCACGTTCTGGGAGTTGGCGGCGCGGTCCGATTTGTACCCGGGCGAGAACCCTCTTGCGGTCTCGCTTGATGTGGTCAACGGGCGCCGGCCAGAGACAGCAAGCATTCGGGCCGACCTCAACGACCTTCTTCCGGTCATTACGGGGCTGTGGGACGGCAACGCAGAGACGCGAATGACAACCAAGGCTGCGGTGGAGGCACTCGGTGACCTCTACTCTCCGATGGCGGTGGTTTACCCGACGACGGCGACCGCGCCCGAAGGTCAGGTCATTCTCATCCACGTGGCACGGCTGGGTATCGGCAAGCTGCTACTGCGGTCGCCGTCGGATGCAGCCGAGTGCCTCGCCGCATTCCACGCCGAAGTGCCCGAGCTTGCACGCGAGGCCGGCGGCGCTGTGGTCGAGTGGGGTCTGGCGACGTCGTCGATTGCCGTCCACCGCGGCGACCAGTTTGGCCTCTTTGTCTCGCTGCTCGACCGAGTCGAGGCGCGGACCGGCCCGCTGGCAGTCGCTGCTGTGCAAGGCAACATTTCGACCGCCAAGAACGTGTATGGCGAACAGACGCTGTCGGGCGAGGTCATGGTGGAGTTGACGTCGTTGTGGCAAGCAACGTTTGGCTCGCGGTCCGCGGGTGAGGCCTCGCTCATTCTCGCTCATGGCATGCCGGGCGTAGCCAAGTCGGGCATGTTTGTGCGGACCGAGTTTGCCAACTCGCTCGACAAGCTGCCCAAGGGTCTGGTCAGCGTTCCGGTGACCGGTGACTCTGGGCAGGCACTTGCGGCAGCCGGTGAGCGGGTGACCCGCATTGCGCGGCCGGCGGAGATTGCGTCAGGCGAGCCGGTCATGGAGCCGCCCTCGCCCTCGCAGCACCGCTCTGACGGAGCATCGGAAGAGCGCGACGGGTTTACAGCGACGCCCCGGCGTAGCTCATCACGACCGCCAATGATGCGCAATGACTCGTCCAAGCGCGACCTCAACCGGTCCGGCGCTGGCGTCCGCCGCAACCGCGGGCCATCGGCTGACGCACGGGCACGGTCCAGCTCGAGGCGGTCGGGCTCGCGACAGCGGGTGAGCTCGCGTCGGGCATCTGTGGTAGAGCAGGAGGAGGATGAGGCAAACTCAAGCTCGAGCTCGAGCTCGAGCTCGTCGATGTCTAATCCGAGCTCGAGCTCGTCACAGCGTCAGATCAGGGGCAAGGCCGGGCCGCGGGCTGCGGCTCGCATCTCGGCGACTCGCGCCGGCTCATCAAAGTCTGGTGCTCACCGGAACGCCAAGTCCAAGGTCGACCCGTCGCACTTTATCCTTACTCCGGCCGAGATGGATGAACTTGTCAAGCAAGACGGAACCATGGTCCACGGCTCGTACTCGCGGGTCCACGAGGCCAATTGGAACGGGCAGCCGGTGATGGTGAAGGTCCTGCTCCGACAAGACCTCAAGCGTGAGGGGCTCATCAACTTTGCTGTGCTCGGCGGCGAGTGTGCGCGTGCCCAGGGCACACGCATTGCTGGCGCGATCGGGCTCTGCATCACGCGGCCGTTCCTGGGCCTCATCTTCCCGCGCTACGACTCGGGCTCGCTTCAGATCATGCTCGACCGCGCCATGCTGGGGCGTTCACGCGACCAGGTCGCGCATCGGTCAAAGGCGCGCGACGCACTTGGCACACCGACGCTCGACAACGACTCGGCGCGTGTGGTTGTCCTTGGCCTCATCAAGGCCATCGCTGAACTCCACGAGGTGGGCAAGCGCGGGCACGGTTCGCTGCGGCCGGCCAACGTCATGATCGTGACGCGCTCGACCGAGGTCCTCGACGTCCACCTCATCGACTACTTCCTCTCCAAGATCAAGACCAACATGGGCACGATGACCATGGTGCCCTCAGTGGCGTATCTGGCGCCAGAGAACCTTCGCGGCGAGGACGGCAACATGGAGGCCGACATCTTTGTCTTTGGTACCATGCTCTACGAGATCGCCGTTCGCCAGCCGGCGTTTGACGGCTCGAACGCGCTCGAGGTCGGCTACCACATCCTCTCAGGCTTTCGTCCTGATCTTAACTTTGTGGAGGACCCACGGCTCCGCGAGCTCATTGCCGACTGCTGGAATGACGACGCCGCGGCTCGGCCCAAGGCCCGCGACGTGGCCAAGCGACTCGAGGCTAGCCTGCGCGAGCGCGGTCTGTACGCCGGCAATGCCAAGAAGAAGGGCAGAAAGGCACGCGATCGGCAGAACAGGTAAACACGCGGCTTACTTGTTTGCCAGGTCTTGTTTACGCACTATGCATTGCGCTCCTCGTTTGCGACGCGGGCGCGAGCGGTGGTGTCGTGGGCGCCGGCGAGTTCGAGGATGGCGCGGTCGGCATTGTCGGCGAGGGCGGCGCGATCAACCTTGCGGCGCTGCTGGATGAGGGCGTCGGTGCGCTTGAGGGCGTGGGCGTGGGCGAGGCGGGCGTCGGGGCCACCGAGGCCAAAAACGACAACGCGATCGACGTCTGCAGCGGCCTCGTCGCCATCGCCAATAAGTACCCCATTGGCGTAGGTGGTGCCGACAGCGCGGGCGTGAACCCTGTTGAGCATTTCGGGAAGGTGAAGGCGGAACGAGCCGTGTCGGCCGCCAAAGGCGAGGCACGAGACCGGAGCGCGCGACGGATCACTTGACTTGACCGGCGAAGTTGAGCCCTGGGGTGGCTTGTACAGGTACATAAAGTTGTCACGCGGGCCGGTGACGGCGCAGACCTCCAGGCGAGGCGTAAACGAGACAAGGACACACGCTGGTGAGCCAAAGAACTTGTTGGCGAGCGGGTTCGATGGGGAGCCCGGCCACTCGTGGGCAATGAGGACGCCGAGCGAAAAGTCGGCGCCGGACGCAACCAGCAGCGACGGCGCGCGGTACTGCGCCACCTGCGCCACCAGAGACGAAAGAGCCTGACCGTGGACGGCCGAGTCGTAGAGGACCGGCGAGTCGAGGTCGTCAATCGAGACGGAGGCATCGGCCGAGCCGGAGGAGGCGTCTGGCGCCGCACGCGCACGGGCGGATGAGCTGGCTTCGTCTGCTGGCGTGCGTGTCCGCGGGAGGAGTGCGGCGCGGCCAGTGAGAAGAACAAGCGCGAGCGCGAGCTTGGGCGCTGCGCCGAGATCGACGCCGACTGGAACGAGGCTGGCGGCATCAAGCGCAGAGGCGCGGACAACAAAATTGGTTGTAGCCGGCACATGCTGGGCAATTTTGTTGGAGCCAATGGTGATGACGCCTGCGGCGGCGGCAGCGCCCGCGGCGGCCTCGAGGCCGGCGATGAGCGCCGAAAGCATGTTGGGAACGAGGCCCGGGAGGCGGGTGCGGAGCAAATGGGCAACAATGGTTTTCGGGGAGCGGCGGATGCCATGCTTGGCGGCCTCGGCGACGGCGGCGGCGGCGGTGCGCGCCACAAAGGCTTCGAGCTCGTCCTCCCACGCCGGCTCGTCGTCAGGCAGCGCGCCGTCAAAGACGACGGCGAGCGCATCGGCGAGAACCAGATGCAGAAGGAGGCCGACATCCTCAGTCGAGGCAACCGAGGGCGCTGCATCCGCAGCCGGGGCCATGAGCCGGGCCGTAGCCGCGCGCGCGTGGGTCACATACGGCCTGACCCAGGTGAGGGCTAGCAGCGAGGGCAGGGCGGTGAAATCCGACGAGGCCTTGCCGAGCAGGCTGGCGAGGCCTGCTGCAAACTGCTCGCCGGTCATGACTTCGGCAGCTGCGCGGGCGGTTGCTTCTGCCGACGGGCATGGCTCGTAGTGGGCGACGCAGGCGGTAAAGACAGCGGTAGCGGCGCCTGTGCCGATAAAGGGTGCGAGGTGGGCGAGGAACACGTCACGGTGAATGGTGCTCATTTTTTTCTTGTCACCCCCCACCCCCCCTGCCGCCACAGCGGCGAACGACGACGCCAGCACCTTGCCCTCTTCCGGCGAGACGCCCAGCGGGCTTGGGTCGACAGACGTGGTGTTGCCCATGTCGACTGTTTGGCTCTTCCTTAACACTCGCTTGATGTCGGCGAGTCTCGTGTCGAGAGAAGTGTGTGTCCGGAACTGGTCGCTGGGCCCGGGGGGGGGGGGAGGGGGTGTGGGCGGGCTTGTGACCTGGCTGGGCAAGGTGGCCCAGAGTTATCCGGTTTGACCTGGACGAGTGCCATGACATGTGTGTGATGCGGCCATAGGGGGGGGGGGGGGGGCGTGAAGCTGCTATTGATTTTTCGCTTGCAGCGTCTGGAGTCGTCGGCAGATCGTGTGGTGTGGCACGGATTGTCAACAGAGCTGGGCGTAGTCATGGTCGTAGATGGTGGAGAGAGAAAGGTCGACAACGGCGGCTCCGGCTCCAACGTCGATGGTGTACGGGATGACAGCGCCGCGGAGCACAAATCGGACGGGAGAGAGCGGCCCGTCTGGGTGTCCGCGCCGCCACGCGCGCCACACATACCGTGCCGCGTCGGCGTGGATCCACGGCTTGCCCGGAAGCGTCACCCAGTACCGGGTCCAACGATCAGAGAGGAGCAGCCTGGCATCGGCCGAGTAATCGGCGAGCCGCGGTGGCGCAGCGCGGACGACCATGGCGTCGGCCGCGAGCCACGGCTCGTCGTTGCCGGTTGCAAGCCAGCGGATCGGATCGACAACGCGCCCATCGCTGAGCGTGAGAGCTCCGTGGAGCCAGAGCGAGTTTTTGGGCACAAGTGAGAACATGGCCCAGTACTGCTCCAGCTTGAGATCGCGCCCGAGACTCGCCATCACCGCCATCGGGCGTGACGCGCTGGGCGAGTTTGAGATAAACCCAGCGCAAAATAGCAGGATCCACGCCATGGCGACTCCCGCCAGTACCGTCCGCACCCGGCCGGGCGTGGGCTGTGGCGGCGCAGCTGGCCAGCCGAGGCGCCGCGGCCGCCGACTCGCACCGGTCAAGGCATCGAGCACCCGCGATGGCACCGCCAGCAGCGCCGGTGCCATGCAGATCCACGGAAACATGCCCAGGCGCATACAGAATACAAACGAACCATGCATGGCCAGCGCCCAGCTCGCAAAACTGGCACGCGCAAGCTCGCTCCCGCGCGCAAACGGCCAGAACGCGAGCAGCGGAACCAGGATCTCGGACCACATCACTCCGGCGGCAACCAGCGGAACCAGCGGGAGGTTGTCGACGACATCCGTACCGGTCTCACTCGCAAACCACGCGTTGCGCAGCGCAGCGCGGAGCGCATCGCCCGAGTACCACTCGGATGCGTACTTGGCCTTGGCCAGTCCGCACTTGACATACATCAGCACCATCTGGCCGAGCAGGCAGCCAAGCGGAAGCGACGGCGCCAGAATAAAGCCCCTTCCACGGACGGAGGTCTCTGCCAGCTGAGGTGATGCGAGAGCAGTCCACATGACAAGCAGGCCGAGGTACCTGTCGCCGCCGTTGTGGACGAACTCGTTGCGGGCGTCAATGGAGGCGAGGATGATCCAGCTCACCACCGCAGAGGGAAAGAGCCACTTGCCGCCGACGGCAATGCCGATGCCTGCAGCAAACGCTACCGCCAGCACCGCGAGTATTACGCCTTGGATGTTCGACATAAGCAGGAGCGAGAAGACTGGCCCGGCCTCCATCACTGTCGCTGCCCGCACCACTCCGTCATCCGTCAGCATCTCCTCCGCCAGCACCATCCGCACCGCCACCGTCGCCGCCACGCACAGCCCAAGTCCGATGCGAAACGCCGCTGCAGCCCGCGAGTCCACCCGCACCATCCTCCGCCCGCTCTCGATCATCGTTGCCATCATTGTCCTTCTCGCCTGCTTTCGCTCACTCACCTCCGTCGAGCCGACAAGTAACGCGTCGTGCTCGCCGCCACCACCGCCACCGCCGCCGTCTTCCCGCACACCAGCGCGCGGGCGGAGCATAGTACAGCCAAGTGTGGAGGAGGGAGGGGAGGGGAGGGGGGGGGGGGGGGGGGGGGGGGGGGAGGGATGGGGGCGAGGGGCTAAGAGGGGTCAGGTGGAGGAAGGTGACTATGGCCAGTGCTACCTGCGCTCATCGACGGTCTCATCTGGGGTGATAGGTGGGCCTCGACAGCTTAGAGGTAATTTTGATTTTTGTTGATGTTCTGGAGAAAAAATAGTTTCGGTGATCCCCTACACCCAACACCGTGAACTCCTCAGTGTTCTGTCCTTTGGACTCTGGTGAAAAACCGGAAGAGGTCGCTCGCATTCGGCGGAAAAAAACAGCTCCAACCACCGCACCTTGCTCCCACTTGGCAAAGCTCTGTGCAAAGGTAGGGAAGCGCATACGTGTGGCACTCTTGACGTGAGGGTAGGCAACCCCGGTCAGGCTCCTCCTCCCTCCCCCCCCCCCCCCCCTCCCCTTCCTCCTACTTGGCCGACGTGCACCAGACCGCTCTCTCCCGCCTCCATACGACACTGCGCTCTCGATGGTAGACAGTGTCGGGATGTGGAGAGGGAGCAACGCGTGGCGGGTGGTCGTGGCTGGATGGGCAGTCTGGCTCTGCTGGTCAGCAATGATGGCGGTAGGAGTTATTGGTGCTGAAGTGTTTGTACCTGCTGCTTCTGGTGGTGGTACTCTTTCTGCTGTGGCTTCAGCTGGAGCGGGACTGAGTTCAGGAGATGTACTCGTTCTGGGTCCTGGTATCTTTAGTGATTGCACCTCCGCGGTCTCCTCCATTCCGCTGCATGCAGAGGTCATAGTCCGTGGTCAACAAGATGGCTCAACTGTCATCGATTGCTCATCTTCCTCTGCCGCTGCTGTCGTCTTTGATCTTGCTCTCGCTGGCTCTCGCTCGGCTGATATTACCTTTGAGTACTTATCGTTTGTCTCGGTCGCAGCGGCTGTCGTTGTCGACATGCCGCCCAAGATCGTGCTCAACATCGCAAACATCTCGGTCACAAACGGCTCTGGCTACGCGCTGCAGGTCTTGTCCGGTGGCTCGGTCGTTGTCAACGGCGCGACTACCTTACACACGCCGCTCTTACACCACACGGGTGGAGTGGCGGCATTGAGCTCGATTGCGCTCGCTGGACTCGACGTCCGCGGCTCGGGAGATGCACAGTTGGCGCCGGTGACCGTCGTCAACCCGGCAGCATCGCTGGCCATTTCCAACTCGCAGTTTGCCGACATGGTTGTCGACAGCTCGGTCGTTGCGTCTCCTCAGGTTGCTGCGAGCCTGATCGATACCATGATTGCCAACGTGACAAGCGCAGGCACTGGCGGTACCCTTATTTCCAACGCTGCACTCATCTCTGGCTGCGTCTTTGCTGACGTAGCCATGAGCGGAAGTGGCAAGGCGGTGGTGTCGACGAGCTCGCCGGTGGCCACGCTCCGGGTCGAGACCTCGTCGTTTGTGCGTGTCAGCATTGACAACATCTCGCCGATGCAGGGTGTCATCCACCGGGGGCCCGGCGGAGCGATAGAGGTCGTCGACACGGTTGTGTCAGAGTGCCACGCGCCGGCGCTGCTGACGTACACTGTAGCGTCGGGCGTGGTCGTGCGCGACGTCCACTTTTTCGACAACGTCGTGAGCAGCGGGCTTGTGACAGGTTTTGTCTCTACGCCGTCGCTGGTGCTGGAGCGGGCAAGGTTGGAGAGCAACGCCGTGACCGGAGCCGGTGCGACGGTCGATGTCACCGTTGCGGCCGGCGGCGCGGCCGTGGTCGATGGCTGTGTCTTTTACAGTAACTCGGCCGGAGGCGCCGGTGGCCTGGCGCTGACCGGCACAACCGGGAGCGTCACTCTCCGTGGCGGGAACATGTTTCTGGCCAACGCTGGTGCGGGCGATGGTGGCGGGCTCGCCATCACGCTGCCGACCGGCACTCTGGTGTCAGACGGGCTGCCGACAGTTTTGACAGGCAACGCTGCGCTTGGCTCGGGCGGTGGCCTCGCGCTCGAGGTGCCTTCTGTCCCGGCCCAGTTTGTCGTCAACGCTACCGAGAACAGGGCCGGCGCCAACGGTGGCGGTGCATACCTTGTCGCCGTCACGTCGCTGGGCGGACACTGGACGTTGTCGAAGAACTCGGCACAGGCAGCCGGAGGCGGGCTGGCGCTTACTGACAGCGGTGGGACGAGCGGCACGTTTGCGCTTGCAGCGAGTGCGTCGTGGACGCTCTCGAGCAACAGCGCAGGGGCCAACGGCGGCGGGTTGGCGGTGCTGGCGAGCGCGCTGAGCGGGTTCGACGCAACCGCCCCCGATGCGCTGCTGGAAGTGACTCACAACACGGCGGCAAGTTCGGGCGGCGGGCTGGCGCTGATGGCGAGCACGGGACACCGGCTGGGAAGCACCGCTGCGGTCCAAGTGACCGGCAACACCGCCGAGGTGTCTGGCGGCGGTCTGTATGTCGCCGGCAGCTTTGGCATGGTTGTTTCCGTTGGTGGCGCAACAGTGGCAGGCAACACAGCGACGACCGGTTCTGGCGGCGGCATGCTGATGGCGTCGACAGGCGGTGCGCTTGATGTCCGCGATGCGCACTTTACAGGCAACCGTGTGCTGTCGGCGCTGGCAACCACTGGTGGCGGCGGCATCTTTGTGTCGGGCGCCGAGCTCAATGCGACCCGCACGGTCTTTGCGCAGAACACGGTGACCGGCCTTGGCTCGGCGCTCATGCTCGCGACCGGGGTGGATGCGTCGCTGAGTGAGTGCTCTGTCGAGAGCAACACTGGAGCGGGCGCGGCGATTTACCTTGCAGCCGCCACGCAGCTTGTTGCCAACGCAAGCGTGGTGAGGAGCAACAGTGCTACATCGAGCCAGCCCGGCGGGCTCTATATCGAGGACACAGCGTCGGCGTGGTTTGATCCACTGGCGGCGGTGTGTGGCAACACGGGCGGAGTGTGTGAACCCAACGTGGTGTGCGGCGGAAGCAGCGCAAAGTCGTACGGCCTGCCCAACGGATGCGGAACGGGTGGCTCGGCATGCCGGCAAGGCGTACCTCTGGGTTGCTCGGCGACGGCGCGCAACGCCAAGTGTGCCAGCTGTCGGAACGGGTGGAGCGGCGACGACTGCAGTACCGCGCTCTTGTGCATCACGCCAGTATGCGCAGCTCCGGAGAGCGCCAAGGTGCCTGCGTTCTGCCCGGCATGTGAGCTCGGCTCGGGGCGAACGCCGGACCTGACCGGCTGCATGGAATGTACCAACGGCACGTTTGCGACGCTGCCGAGCGAGACTTGCAGCGTTTGCTCAGCCCAGTGCGCGAGTTGCGTTGGGCTAGCGACCAACTGCACAGAGTGCGTAAGCGCGGACCAGGAGCTCGTTGCCGGGCCTGACGGGGTGACTCGCTGTGAGATGCGGTCAGGCAGCGCTGGAGCGGGAGCTGGGCGTGTGGCTTTCTGGGATGACGCCTTTGGGACCGGGGCGGTGTGGGCGAGGCCGTCGTCACTCGCGTTGGAGCTGCTGGTGGCGGTGGGCGTCGTGGCGCTCGTGCTTTCGGCGTGGAGCCGCAAACGGGAGGCGCGCAAGTATGCGACCGATCCGATGAAGTGGCGAGCGCTCCCTTTCCCGCTGATGGTGCTCGCGGAGCACCCGCTCGCAAGTCTTGTGGTTGTTCAGCTGGTGCCGGGCCCGCCGCTGCTGCGGCTGCAAGAACGCGGGCTCTTGCTGGGGCTCTCGCTCGGAGCATACTTGGCAGCAGCTCTGGCGCTTCCTGTGGCGCGGCACGCAGCATACTCACCAGGCCAGAGCGCACTCTCGTTCGACCGACTGGGCGACGCAGCTCTTGCAGCGTCGGTGGGCGGGCTGACAAGCACCTTCCTCGCAACGTGGCTCGGTCCTCTGCTTTACGCCGACCCACGGGCATCGCGGCGACAGGGATTTGTGGCGAGTGGATGCGCGGCCGGAGTCGAGGCTCTTGTGATGGCTGGCCTCACGTCGATGATCTGCCTGCGGCCCGAAGGATTTTCGGTGCCGTGTGTGGCGGCTGTAGTCAGCGCATCGATCACGCTCAGTCTGCTCGTCGTAGAGCCGGCTGTGACCACGTTCAGACACTTTGTGCTCGGTGTGCGTGCGATCCGCGTCGCCACGTGTGGCAATGGCGGGCTCTTGCGGTCGGCACAGATTGCAGCTGTGCAGGCGGCGAAGAGACGCGGTGGGACCGCAGATGGGACCGCAGAGGGGAAAACTGCAGTGATGCTGCGACCGCGCCTCCCGTCGTTGCCGAGCTTGCTGGGCGACTTTGAGCTGGGCGACCTTGACTCTGAGCTCTGCTCATCAAGAATTGGCACACCGAAAGACTTCTCAGCTTCGACCGGGTTGGCATTGACATGGACGTGCTGCTGCAGACCCTGCCGCAACGCGCATCCGAAGCGACCAGCGGTGAGCTCGCATCGCAGACGCAGCTGTACCGCGTGGTCGTCTCCAACGGTGCGGAGGCCATGGACTCGCTCGAGTTGCTGGCGACTGAAGGCGACTCGGTGCCACTCTCTCCGACCACCTCGTCGCCGATCTTACCGTCGTTGCCGCAGCCATTGTCGCCAAGTGCACCCCAGCTGTCTCCGTCGGCGCCGCGCCGCTTGTCGCGGGCCCGGGCTACCAAACGCGGTCGGGCCAGCAGCAGCAGCTCGCTGGGCAAACGGCGCTAGCGGCGGTATACATGATCAAGTAAATGTTGCATGTTGGGATGAGCTAGTATGTGACCGGAAGGCTCTGTTTGTCTACCATTCTTGACAGAGTAGCCTGCGAGCGTGGTCCGAGGGCACGGCCAACCACCTGACGCCACCAGCTGACCAGGTGACGAGCCAACCAGCTGCGCACAAGACAGACCGAGGGAAGGAATACGAGCTGAGTTGCACACTCTCTGGCAAGCGAGCATGAAACGGTTTCGCAGCAAGGCGTTGGCCGTGACGGCTGCGAGCAAGTTCCGAGCGGCTGCAAAGGTACGTGGTTGTGAGGGGGGGGGGGGGGGGGGGGAAGGGGAGGGAGCGGACGGAAGGATGTGCATGCACGTCACATTTTCTTCCATTCCATATGTTTTTTTTTTGATGAGAGAATCGAATGTCAAGTGAAAATGATTATGTCTGTGTGGGGGGGGGGGGGGGGGGGGGGAAGGGGTTGGCTGAAGGCGGATGCGTGGCTAACAGCGCGCTGAGGGGGAGGGCGGCAGCATGGCGCGAGCAAGATGGCAGGGACCAAGGCTGGGCGCAAGATCCAAGGCATGGCAGAGTCGGCGTACTCGCGGACACCGGCGGGGAAGCGGTATGCGGAGCGGAAGATGTCGCGGCTGCGGGCAGAGGAGGACGCGTTTCTGGTCGATCTCATGGAGGCTCAGTTTGACGCGGAGACGATGACCTCAGTGGAGGCTGCCATGGCCAAGGCACTGGCAGAGGTTGGTCTCGATGGCGAACGGGCGCGCGGGCGCGGCGGCCAGGTGGACATGACGCCCGAGGCTATTCCCGGCTGGGCCGGAACACCGCTGGCCGATGGCGAGTTTGAGGTCGGCGTCTGCGCCGCGAGCGAGGACGTCGAGTTTGCGAACGCCCTTGCCGAGGTCCTCATCGAGGGCGGGTTCTCGGTCACGACGGACCACGCGGCGCTCCATAACACGCGAGTGTTTGTCCTTGTCTACTCGGAGTTTACCGTCGCCGAGGCGCCGTCGCGGCTCCTCACCGACGCATCATCGCGGTTCAACAATGGGCTCACGACTATCATTCCTGTCGTCCACCCGCGATGCTCGCCGTACGTGCTGGACAAAATCCCCGACTCGCTCGCGTACGCGCTCGCCAACACCACCTGGTTCAACTTTCAGTTTGACCTCGATCCGATGTCCGAGGTCTACGACGACCTCGCGTCGACGCTCAACAACTACCTCCGTCCGCACGAGGCCTCGTGGTGGCTCACTGGGGTGTGGCGGTTCGAGCTGGTGGTGACCGGCGAGGCCGGCTCGGCCGTCTACGAGGTCAAGGACGTCCTCGTGTACCTCGAGCAGCTGGACGCGACGGCTGTCCGTGGCCTCACCGTCGACGGCATCGCGTTCACTGGGCGCCTCGACGGGACCTCGCTCTCGCTCACCGGCCGGTACGCCGGTCGATGGGTCCAGGACTCGGAGGGGTGGCAGTCCGAGTTTCTCGGCTTTGTCTCGCACTACGATCTCGTGCTTCGCAACGTCGGCCACTCGCTCGAGGGCACGTACGCCGACTACACGCCAGAGGGCGGGCTCCGGCACGGAACTGCGCGCGGCGAACGTGGCGGCTCGGGCATCACTGGCTTTTACAAGCTCGCCCTTGACGAGACGGACAACCTACCGCTGGCGCTGTACCACACTGGAGCAACCCGGCTCGAGCTTGCCCTTCCCGGCGCGTACGGCACCGTCCTCGACGGCGTGTTTGACGGCAACAAGTTTACCGTCGCCGCTGAGCTTGGCCCGCACAAGGCCATCACCTTTGTCGGCTACCTCAAGCGCCGCGACGACGCCCGCCTCCACCTCAAGCGGCACCACCTCAAGGGAGTGTACTACGCCGTCGAGGGCGGGCTCAACATCGTCGGCGCCCGAAAGTTCAAGGCCAAGTACTTGACCGAGTCGCGAGTCGGCCTCGTGCCCTCGCCGCCGCTGTATCAAGCCGGCTACGAGGGCGAGACCGGCGGCGAGACTCCGCCGGACGCCAGCGTTGACTCGATGCTGCACCAGCGGCTCCTCGACGCACATCTTGGAACGGGCACTCGGACGTCTTCGGCGGCATTTAGGCAGTATGTGTTCAATCCGCTCGCGGACGGCGAGTTTGCCGCCGTCATTGCCGGGCCGGACGACGTCATCGCACAGCACGCAAGCTCGCTGGCAGCGGCACTCGAGGCTGCCGGCGTCGGCCCAATCTCCACCGACTACAAGGCCCACGGCAGTTCAGCGAGGACCATGGTCTTACTCCTCTCGATGGCTACCGCTGGCGACGCTGCACTGGTTGACTACGTGTGCGCCGCAGCGGGGGCAGGCATGCCGATTTTCAACGTCGGCGTCGCGTCATGGTGGGACATCTTCTGCTCATCCGCGTGGGAGCCGGCGGCGGCGTCGCGGTTCAAGGCAGCGCTGGCGCGGCTGAACATGACCGACGCGTCGACGCTGCAGCCAGACCACTCGTCATTCAAGGCACTGGTGGCTTCGATCAGGTCGCACATTGTGCCGCGGCAGCACATTCTCTCGGGCGCATGGATGCTGCGGCCGAGCTCAATGTCGGCCGACGCGGTGGGAGCGGGAGTAGCCGAGGTGCCTGCGGTGGCGACGTCGGCATCGGCATCGGCCGCCGCCGAAGACCTCACCTACTTTCTGCAGGTCTACCAGCAGCCGACTTCGGACGCGGTGACCGCAGTCGACTTGCGCGGCCACCGGTGGAGTGGCCGGTTGAGCGGGGCAGAGCTGGTCCTGACCTCGGATGGGATGGAGATTATCATGTCGCTCTCTGAGTGCGGGACGGTGATGCAGGGCACTATGCAGACCACGTCGCACGACGCGGTGACCGGCAACGACAACTGGGCGGCATCATCCCAAGGCGGAGTGACCAAACGCGACAAGCTTCTCGGCTCGGCGCAGTGGATCAAGAAGCGGCTGAGCAAGGTCAAGTCGTACCACTACACCGGGACGCTTGAGGCCGATGGGCTCTCGGGCCTGTTCTTCGAAAAGCCCGAGGCCGAGCTCGACGAGGCGTCAGCGAATATGGTCCAGCGGGCACTGGCCTTTCACGCCGAGACCGGTGGTTGCAAGCGCGCCGGCGTGGAAGGCGACGCTGCTACGGCGTCGCGCGTGGTCTCTGCTATTGCCGAGCCGCGGTTCTTTGGTGTCTTCCAGCGCGGCGGCTCGCGGCTACTGGTCAAGTACGCTGACTCGTTCTACAACGGAACCGTCCGCGATGGAGCAGCCAAGTTTGTCGTCAAGACCAAGTCGGGGGAGTACAAGACTGTGGTGGGCCGGATTGTTCATGGCCGCTCGGGTACGTTTCTCCGCGGGTACTCGTACACCTCGCGGCGTGGGGCGTTCAAGCTCGCGTACCGGGCCAAGAAGCATCTCTCCGAGGAGAACGTGCCTGTGATTGCCGCTGCAGACGAAGCCGCGTCCGGAGTTCTATGTCCGCTCGCGCTTGTCATGGACGTCGTCGATGGCTACTGGGCCGCGCTCCTTGCCGGCGAGTACAGTGTGTTTGTCTCGCTTTGGGTTCCCGGGACGGACACGACGCTGTCGCGGACAGATTTCGCGGCGCTGGCGGCGAGCGTGGCGACTGCGGAACCGCCATTCGGCGAGTACGTTGATGCTCAGTATGTGGGGCGGATCCCGATTGAGAACGATTCACTCGAGGCGTGGCGGTATGAGTTTGAGTGCCAGTTCACGGCGCGGAGCCTCCGATACTGTTTCTTCCTCACCGACGGCGGTAAGATTGTGCGGGCCATGGCGCAGGCGGACCGGACAGCCCACACCCGGGCGTCGCAGCATGACGTAATGATCTCGTACAGGTCAACCGACGCCGGCTTTGTTGACGTCTTGCAGGCTTACCTCGAAGACCACGGGGTCTCGGTCTGGCGCGACCGGCGGATGGAGGCCGGGACCGACTGGTCGTCGACCATCGCGGCGGCGTCGCGTGGAGCGTCGTCAATCCTCATCTCGGCGCTCTCGCGCAACTACCTCGCCTCGTCGCTCTGCACCAAGGAAGTGCGACTGGCCGCAGAGCTGGGTAAGCCGATTCTTCCGATTATTCTCCCTGCGACAGCCGAGCCAGGCGAGGGTGGGCGGCGGATGGTGGCTGCTCCGTACGAAGCGTCCGGACCACCGGCAACGATCGCGCGGGCGCTTGCTAACGTCACCATGGTCGACCTGCGTGGGGCGTACAGCGGCCCGGACCCCGAGGATGGCCGTGCTCTGCGCAGGGCGTACCCGACGCAAATGTCTGCGCTGCTCCGTCAGATCCGGCACTCGCTCGCCTCGGGCATCACGTGGGACGTGAGTGGCAAGTGGCGGCTGTCGATGACGTCTGTTGGCGAAGAGGCCGAGACCATGGCACCGACGCTGGAGCTAGTCCAGTCAGGCTCGGCCGTCACCGGCGCAGCCTCACTCTTCAACGGCATGGTTGCGCTCGAGGTAGACGAGGCTGCATCGGGTGCGCTCGGATCACGGCTCTTCTTCACTCTTCTCTGCGACGACCGGCGGTGGCAGTTTACGGTCCGGGCCATGCTCGCAGTCGACGGCGAGTCATTTGATGGGCTCTTCTGGTCGCCGTCGGGCAACCGCGGGGTGATTTCGGCCGCCCGGGTCTCACGTCGCGAGTCGGTCAACGTCGGAGGAAGGTCATCGCGCAACCTCGAGTCACTTGCGGACGCGGTGGCGAGCGCGTTGGAGAGCAGCCCTTAGCGGAGCGGTCGTTGCGCGCCGCAGAGTGAGCATGACGAATGCGTCAGCCACAGCCCTGTGGCTGAGTCTAAGTTGTCATCTTTGTTTCGGCGGTGGTAGGCACCGAGTTGGTCGACCGCCGCCGTCTGTGGGCGATACGATTGATCCGAGAGAGCGTCACCGAGCCTGGTGGAGTCGGTGTCGTGTCGTCTCGCGGCAAGGGCTTGAGAGCAGGGGACAAGGAAAGTGCCCGCGCCCGGGAACTGCTCCGAACCCGAACTCTCCGCTTGCGGGTGACGGCATGTGAGACCTTTGAGGCGTTCGAGGCATCGGATGCGCCCGAAGCTTCGCTGCTGTTGCCATCGCCATCGATGATGCGGCTGTTGCGTGCGCGAGCAACAGCCAGATGCGTCCCGACTTGACCATGGGAGGCTGACGAGACCATGTTGCGCGCCGATCTCGTGCGGAGAGCGCGTGGCTCGCGCGGGCTAGTTCTGGCCATGTTGCGGTGGGTTTTGGTGCGACGGACGGCACAACGTTCGATCTCGTATGACGACGTGTGGGCGCGGGCAGTTTGCGAGCCGTTGCGATCTTGAAGACAGGCATGGCCACGAGGCGAGATGACACCCGCAACATGATACTCGGTTGAATGGAGCGAAATCGAGCGCGGGCGGGACAGCCTGGTGCCAGACGGAGAGCGGCCGCGCGAGTTTGCGAGCCTCTCCGAGGGCGAAGTGCCCTCGATCGAGTGACGTACAAGTGCTTCGACGAGGGCAACACCGGATGGTGGATCGGCAGCCGTGTTGGGTGGACTGCTGGTGGCGAGGGAGCTGGCCATGGGAAAGGTGTTGGTTGTTGACTTGCCGAGCGAGCTGAGCGCTTGCTTTGTAGTCATGCGATTGGCGAGCGCCGGTGCGGCCACAATGTCGCTGGGGATGGCGTCTTCGTCGGGCCAGACGCTGGCAAATACGTCACCAGTGAGCAGGATGGCTGATCTGGCGATGCGCCGCATGCGGTCGTCGGTAAAGCACAGCGAGCGAGAAGCAAGGTCAGCTGGAAGCATCTCCCAGATTTCGCACGGCTGGGCGAGGCCGCTGAAAACGAGGACAGCCAACGGCGCAAGTGCAACAGCGGAGCGGGAGGTGCTCGGGCTAGGCGATGACGACCTGGCCGAGGCGATGCGGTCAACAACTTGCCGCGAGAGCGCAATTTGGCCGCCCCAGGCGGCGTCAGTGACTAGCGTGGCGAGATTGGCCATGCCGCCAAAGTACTGGGACCTGCCCGCACGGACGTCAAAGGCCGATGAGACGCGGCCGTAGTGAACGCCCATTCGAACGCGGATTCCGTTCCAGCACGCGGGTCTTCCCTCGGCCATGAGGCTCAGCAACCAGTTTGGCCACGACACGTCCATAAGCGCGCGTTGGACACCGCAAGTAAAGCTGATCATGGCCTCGACATCTTCATAGGCGACAAAGAAAGCGTCGCCCTCAGTCTTGAACTCGTAGCCGCCGGTGGCGGCAATGGCGGCGCGCATGATCTCGTTGTGCTTGTCGAGAACAAGGATCATCTGTTCTGGATTGGCCTCCCACAGGGCGGTCGAGTCCTGGATGTCGGTGGTGACAATAAAGATCTCGCCCTGGGGCGCCTTGTCCGCTAGTGCGGCGTGGTATGCCGAGACAGACGCTGACCGCCGCGACCGGTAGAGGAGAACAATAGCGGCGATGAGGACAAGGCACAGGACCAAAAGCGCCCCGCTCATGGCAGCCACCGTCACAATTGACAGACCGCCCTCGGTGGTCTTGGTGTTCGGTGGACACTCCACATCTGCCGCCGAGCACATGCCACACGACTTGAGCGTCTTTCCCGAGTTGGGGATGCCATCGCAGCCGGCACACACGGTGTTGTTGCCGTAGCAAGTGCCGCAGTCGTCCTTGGCGAGATTAGAGCCAAAGCAAACGCCGCAGTCGTCCATGGCCGCGTTGTGACCACGGCACACGCCGCAGCTATCAAGATCAGCATCGTCGCCAAAGCACACGCCACATGAGTCGCGATCGGCGTTGCCGCGGAAGCACACTCCACAAGAGTCGCGGAAAAAGTTTGCCGTGGGAATGAGCGACGTCCCGCCGGCGCACGAGTTGCACTCGTCGATGGCGGCGGTACCGCTGCAAGTTCCGGTGCAGTCGTAAATGGCGGACGAGCCGAGGACGCCGTCGCAGCCCATGATGCACGACGAGCCGTCGCCGCCACAGACACCACAGAGATCAAAGAGCGCGCCGCCGTCGGAGACACGGATTCCGTCGCAGCCGACACACGTCGAGTTGTCGCCATCGCACACGCCACAGGCATCGAGGACTCCGGACGCACAGGTGGTGCAGGTCAGATCCTGGCCAAAGCACACGCCACACGAGTCGAGGTGGTAGTTGTACGGGAGCGGAGTCGAGACGTTGCCGCCGGCACACATGCCGCAACTGTCGATGGTGGCGTTGCCGCCGCACACGCTGTGGCAGTCGTAGTGGATGCTCGAGCCGTAGACGCCGTCGCAGCCGACGTAGCATACAGTGGCGTTGCCGCCACAAACGCCGCACGCGTCGAAATGTGCGCCGCCTGAGGGAATCGGCACCCCGTCGCAGCCGAGGCAGGACGAGCCGTCGCCATCGCACACGCCACAGACGTCTCGGACGAGGCCCGAGTTGGGCACCCCATCGCAGCCGGCGCAGGTCGCGTTCGATCCAAAGCACACGCCGCAGCCGTCCTTGTGGGTGTTGGCGCCAAAGCAGACACCGCAGTCGTCGCGATCGGCGTTGCCGCCAAAGCACACGCCGCAGTCGTCGCGATCAGCATTGGGCAGGCGGTTGGTGGTGCCACCGGAGCAGACGTTGCATGCGTCGAGGATAGCGTTGCCATCGCAGGTGCCGGCGCAGTCCATGCCGTTAGGGTGCGCGCAGGTGGTGCAGGGCGCGCCTGGGGTGAGGCAGGCGTAGCCGGGCTCGAGCTGGCAGGAAGATGAGCAGCCATCGCCTGGAGCTGTGTTGCCATCGTCGCAGGATTCGAGGCCGGGCGTGACGACCGAGTCGCCGCAGGAGGAGGGCAGTGGAGATGGGGGTGGGGGTGGTGATGGGGGCGGGGGTGGTGAGGGTGGCGGCGAGGGGGTGGGGGTGGTGAGGGGGGTGGGGGTGGTGCCGGCGGCGGGGGCGGCGCTGCGACGCAGATGGTGGGAGCGTCGCCAGAGCACGACCATGGCGCAACGATGTTGCAAGAGGCATCGCAGCCATCGCCGACATTGGTGTTCCCGTCATCGCACTGTTCCGAGCTCTCGCGGAAGCCATCGCCACAGGCAACCGGCAACGGCAAAGTAGTCCAGTTTGTGGCGACACCGTTGGGTGGGATCGAGCAGGTGATGTCTGAGGCACCGCCACAGCCAATGCCCGCGAGGTTGGCAAAGTCACCGATGCCGTTGGGTCTGAGAAGAGCGACAAGCCCCTGCTCGCAGCCGGAGAGTGTGGCAGAGGCACGCGACGAGACCTCGCCATCGGAGAGTGTTCGGTTCCAGACGCGGACGTCGCGAACCGAGCCATCAAAGCGACCCAGGTAAAGGCCACGAGTTGCAGTCTTGGCGCCGTATGTGTAGTAGGTGAAGAAAGCTGATCGGTACCAAGAGGATGAGGTGGGAGCGCCGTCGACGTAGATGGTCCACGTGCTTGTGGTAGCGTCAAAGACCCCAGCGATGTGGCGCTCAACACCCTGGGTAAAGGTCCCGACGGGCGCGTCGGACTCGTAGCGGATGTAGCCCGGAGAGTAGCCGGCGGAAAAGGTGACAGCGTAGTCGGCGTCGGGATCGGGTCCGTACTGAGGGTTGGAATCGTCGAACATACCGACAATGAAGCGAGTGTTGTCGCCGAGAAATGCAAAGATGGTCTGAGTCGAGAACGAGTTAACAGTCACTCGCATCTCGATGGAGATGTCGGCGTCGATGTCAAGCGAGGGCCAGACACCGGGGCTGGATTCGTTGTACGCGCACGTCGGGATGGCTGGCTCGGGGGGGACGGCAAAGTCAGTGGCATCAAGACCAAGGCGGCGCTCCCAAGAAAAGGCTACGCCATCGCGCTCATTGTCTGGTGGCAAAGCCCGGAAGCGGATGGAGATCTGCGAGGCGTTGAAAAAGATGGGCTCGCCGATCCTTGCGCCGACGGGAGAGTTGCCGGACATGTCTGCGAGGACCTCTGACCAGTCGCCAACCAAGCCTCGATAGACGATGAGGTGATCGAAAGGCGGCTTTGTGTCAAACGAGTCAAAGATGAGCTGCAGCCCGCCTTGCAAGTAGTCAAACTGGTAGATGCAATCGACTGCGGCCGGGTACCCGCCGGTGATGTTGACGTAGCCTGCGGTGACACCACTGGTCGAGTTGAAGATCTGAGACGAGCACGATGCCAAAGCGTGGGTGTGACAAGGAAAGTGCCCGAGAAGCAAGATCATGACAATGGTCATCATCATCATCGTCATCATCATAGTACTCGTCCCCGTCCTGACTGGTACGCTGGCATGCGTTGCTATTCTTCGGCATCGTTCCATATTGGTAAGGTGTCAGGAGTGGTTTGACTCGCGACAATGAGAGATGTAAGCCGAGCAGTACAGGGATGAACGAGAGGGTGACGGCGTATGAAAGGGGAATGGTGGGGGCGGTGGTGGTGGCGGCGGCGGCAGCGGTGGTGGTGGTGGTGGCGATGTGGTGGATGGCGCGTGTGGTGTGGATGATGGCCGCGTGAAGTGCTTGCGGGTCGGGTCGTTGCGGGGAGCGGAGCGGATAGCTGTACGTTTGAGTGAGGAACAAATGTGGGATGTGTCACGGTATACAATTTGACAACGTGGTATGTGTTGACAGATACGGTGCGGGGCGTGCTGCCCAGGTCAACAAATGCCAACCGGCCGCGGCGTGGCGGAGTCGGGCTGTCGGCGCCGAGGTTGGTGGCAGACTGGGCAAGCGACATGGACGAGTTAAAGCCGGGTGTGGGGCGACGGCGGGCAGCCATGCAGGCGCGGATGCGGTCACGGAGCACGGCAGCCGAGGTAGTCGAGTTGAGCAAGATTCGGGCGGGGCGATTCTGCGGAGCCAATTAGGTTCTGCGCCGTGACAGAGCTCAGCTGTGCCGTTTTCGGTTGGCGCCAAGTTTAGCAGTTTGGGTCGGAAGGCGGAGGCGGGTGGACACGGCAGGGACAGGCACGTCTCGCTGGAGGGAGAGAGACGGCGAGAAAGGAGACAGCGGAAATGAAATCGTCGGCAGCTACGTGGAGAGCCAAGTTGGACACGCTGCAAGCACGTGTGTCGTCATACCAGGTGGCAACAGGTGCTGGAGCTCGTCAGAGCGGTCGGTCGAGGAGCAGTCTGCCAATGGGACGAGGCCGGGACGGGGACGGTAGCGGCGATGGCCATGGCCATGATCATGGTCATGATCATGATCATGACCATGGTCATGATCATGGAGAAAGACGGGCTGATGGGGGCGGACGGGCGGTGTCGGCCGAGGCTGCGATGATGGCGACCATGCGATTGGACGAGGTCGAGGGCGAGATGACCCGGATGGGCAGAGTTGACCGGCCGAGGGAGACCCGGCGCGGTGGGCGTGGGCCACAGGAAGGCCAGGTGGCATCGCATTACGTGCTCCGGTCAGTGCCGTCGACACTGCCGCGAGGGGCGATCCGTGAACAGCCGCTGCCGGCAGCGGCAGTGTCGGCGGATGTGGCAGGTGTGCTGGCGGCACTGTCGGGATCGCCGCAAAAGGGCCACGCCATCAACGGCACGCTCATCACCCTTGCCCAAAACGCGGCGGTGAATGTGGAGACGCTCATGCATACCATCCGCGCGCTGGATGCCGGAGTAGCCGTGCCTACCAGCACGAGCGGTGAGGCGCGGACGACGTCGCATGGACGCGCCGGCTCGATGCCAGTGGGCATTGCGTCGACGATGCGGGTCCCGGCTGGCGGCACAGAGCCGCTGACGGTGTCGGAGCTCTCGTCGCCGGCGCCGCCGCCGATGTTGGGCGGGCCGGCGGTGACGCGGCGGGGCAATCCTCCGCCACAGCGAGCACGGTCGATGCAGCCGTGGCCGCAGGCGTCGGCGTCGGCTTCGACACAGTCGATGGCGGACATCCGGGCCGAAGCCGAGGCCAAAGTTCGGGCCGAGCTGGCAGCTGAGGCCGAGGCCGAGGCCCAGGCTGCGGCTCAGGCCGAGGCCGAGGCTGCTGCGCGGGTGCGTCAAGAGGCCGAGAACGCCGAGCTGCGCCGGCGTGCGGCCGAGCTGGAGCATCGGCTCTCGGCGCTGGAGGCTGTGACGGAAGAGTCACTGGCCTCGCCGGGGCGAGCGAGCGAGAGGCAAGTGATGTACGACGTGGCGGCGAGCCCTGTCTCGTCGATGGTGGAGGACGAGCTGCGGTGGCGTGCGGCGCAGCTGGAGGAGCGGCTCTCGCAGCTAGAAGTTGTGGAAGCACGGCGGAAGCTTAGTGCGTCGGAGCGGAGTGGGCACGACGCGCTGCTGCGTGAGCAGCAGGCGGTGCTTGCGCATCAGCGGCAGTTGCTTGCCCAGCAACAGGCGCTGGAAGCGAACATGGCTGCGCAGGAGGAGGAGCTCTCCGAGTCGCGGGCCGAGCTCGGACGGCGCGAGGCGGAGCTCAACGCTGTCCTTGATCGCCTGCTTCCGGGAGGAGATGCCGGTCCTGTGGTGGCTGTCCATGCGCCTGTGTACCGGGGCGATGTGCACCAAGTGGAGCAAGCCGGTCACACGGAGGTTGCTAGCTTGACTAAGTCTGCGCCAGAGACAGAGTCTGCCCCGGTCAACGCGCCAGCGCCGACGGTATGCGAGGCTGTACGGGTGCCCGGACGCGAAGCTGCTCATGTGGAGATTGCGCGGATGGTGATGGAGCCGGCAAAAGCCTCGATGGAGGAGGTGGCGCGAGTGAGTGAGCCACGGGCGGTGGCCACGCCCGAGCGGATCCGGGTGTCGATGCCGAACAATGTCACGGCAGCAAGCCAGACCGAGGCCGTGGAAGCAGTGGGCGCGGCAATTCAGACCGAGGCTGTGGAGGTCGTTGGTGCGGCGATCCAGACCGAGTCTGTGGAGGTCGTTGGTGCGGCGATCCAGACCGAGGCTGTAGCGGCTACAGAGGTGTCGCGAGTCCGCAGCAGGCCGCAGCCAGCCCCAGCAGTTCCAGTGGCGTCGTGCGCGAGCGACGAGGAGGAGGACGAGTCTGCTGACGATAGACTCGCCAAGACGTGCTACGACGACGAGCGGTTGTGGCTGGGCGAGGCGCGGAGCGTGGTGCGGCGGATCAACGCGCCGACGCTGGCGAGTATGCACCAGCACTACGGTAGTGAGGAGGGCAAGATTGGGCCCGCTGGGCGGATCATCACAGTGCCACGGCTGAGTGAGGCCGAGGTCCGGTTTATTGCCGACGTGCGGTCGCGGTACGCACCGCCAGCGGCGGTGGCGTCGCGGGCCGAGGCCGAGGGCGTGCCGGTGGAGCACGTTGTGACCGGGCACGAGTTTGACATGCTGGTAGAGATCCGGCGAGCAGACGACGCAAGTGCTGCGCGTGTGGCCAAGCTGCGTGCACTCGGGGTGCTGACGCCGGCGCAGAGCACGCGGCTTCCGCGCGGCTACGGGCAGGCAATTCTCAAGACCGACGTGGCGCGGCCGTACTTTCAGTTTGCGCACATGGACGCAGCATCGCGTGCGGCCGGCTCAGCGGCTGTGGCGGCGACGATGCGGTGGTCCGACTCGCTGCGGCGGCCGCCGTCGGAGAGCCTCAAGGCCGAGGCGATCGCGCAGGCCCGCGCGGAGCAGCGGCAGGAGCTGGCGCGGCTGCTGCGCGAACGCGATGGGTGACGAGCTACTCTTCCGGCTCCTGGAACAGATAGTCGTGGTACTCGATGCAGAGCTGAACGGCTTCAGACTGCTGCTGCATGTCCATGAGGTTGGCGATCGACTCGACCGCCGGGCGGAGGATGTTGGGTGCAAAGACGACGGCGAGGTTGGAGGCGCCCATGCGGTTGGACGGCTCGTGCGACGCGACGCGAGCGAGGAAGGCCATCAGCTCCTTGGTGAGCAGGTAGTTGTCGTCCGGGAGCGAGGCGACAGCGTAGAAGAGGGCCTGTAGCTTGTCGGCGTGGTTGGATATCTTTGCGGCAGCCACAAACGCATCGTAGTGCGAGAAGGGGAAGAGCGGCTCGGGGAGAAGGCGGAGGTAGAGCTTGAGGGCGGCGGCGACAATGTGCGGGTCAGAGAAAACGACCGGGTATGCGGCAAAGTCGCCGTCGGCAAACGACCTGGTGTTGACGAGGACAACAAAGTCGTCGAGCAACCGTTGGTTGCCCGAGATGCGGAAGAGGCCGTCGAGCTCGAGCGAGTGCGCAGTGAGATGAGCAAGGGCGGCGGCGACAAAGGCAGGAATCGGGTCGGCAGCGGTGGCAGTGGCAGTCGTGAGCTGTGCAAGCGGGACGCCAAAAACGGCGTCCGGGCCCGGAACGTAGCCGACGGCGCCGGGCGGGGCGTCCGGTCGCGGCTCGGCAGGCTCGGCGCCCGGACGGCGGACCCTGGCCTTGACGCGCGAGACAAAGGAGCGGACGCGGTCCATGGGCTCAATGCCAGGCGTTTCAGGCGGTAGGACGATCGCGGGATCGAGCTGCGGTAGTGTGGCCTGCAGCCTGTCGAGGCGCTCGATCCAGAGCTCACGGAGCGCCGGGTCACGGGCACGGAAGAGCATCGAGCGGTTCGGAGTATAGACTTCAAAGTAGGCGGCGTTCGGTGCGATGGTCGACGACGTATTGGGCGGCGGGCCGAGGAGCTCGACGACGAGAAATCCATCGGTGAGGTCGAGGCCACCCTTGAGAGGAACGGCGGTGGGGTCGCCGGCGGCGGCGGCCTCTGCCATGGCCAGCGGGACGTAGTACTCGAGCGCGGTCGGCTTGAGGACAACCCAGCGGTACTTGTAGTGGGTGAGGACCGAGCTCCCGCCGCGTTTCTCGAGGAATGAGTGGAAGAGCTCGCCATCGCCGAGCGGGACTTCGGTCCCGTCTGACTTGGGCACAAACACTTTCATGGCGAGCATGCGGTCACGAACCCGGTTCTTGGCCTTTCGGAACATGGACTTGACCTTGGTGAGCGTGGCGAGGCTATTCGGCCGCTTGCCCTCTTGCTCAGCAGGCGTCAGAGGCGAGGGCGGGAGCGAATGCGCCGATGGTGATAGTGGCGGGGCCGAATCCGGCTCAGAGTCCCGGTCAAGGCTTGAATTCGGAGCGTCGAGGACGTCGGCTTCGGCCAGCAGCTCGGCTATGTGCGCCATAGAGGTGAGCCGTGGCTTGGGCGGCGGGACCGGGACAAAGGCCGATGGCGCCATCGACCGGCGGCTCAGCGCCACCGACCGACGGTCGGTCCCGGGCACCGGCTTGCGCGACGGAACCGGTGGTCGAGGCTTGGGCGCAGGCTTGGGTGCAGGCTTGGGTGCAGGCTTGGGTGCAGGCTTGGGTGCCGAGTTGGGCCGAGGTCCGGAGATGCCACGCCCGCGCCCGCGTCCGCGAGCACGCGCTCGCACCTGCCCTCGTCCGCGGGGTCCAAATCGGTCAGGATCGGCGCTTGCGGCACGAGCGCGTGCGGCCGGTGGAGGAGGTAACGATAGACGATCCTCGGCGCTGGCGGATCGATAGCGTGGGGCGGGAGTAGGGGCGGAGGTATCTCTGCCGTGGCCACGGTAGTTGTTGCCACCACGACCACGGCCTCGACCGCGACCTCCGCCACGGCCACGGTCACGGCCACGGCCACGGCCACGGCCACGGCCACGGCCACGGCCGCTTTGCGAGAGATGAGGAGGTTTGGGCTGGACCAGTCGCGGTTCTGGCCGGTGTGAGGGGGGAATCGAAAGATCAGCAACAGGCTAGTGAAGCCGAGTGATCAGCAGCAGGCGAGAGAAGCCGAGTGATCAGCAGCAGGCGAGTCGAACCGAGTGATCAGCAGCAGGCGAGAGAAGCCGAGTGATCAGCAGCAGGCGAGTCGAACCGAGTGATCAGCAGCAGGCGAGTGAGGCCGAGTGATCAGCAGCAGGCGAGTCGAACCGAGTGATCAGCAGCAGGCGAGAGAAGCCGAGTGATCAGCAGCAGGCGAGTCGAACCGAGTGATCAGCAGCAGGCGAGTGAGGCCGAGTGATCAGCAGCAGGCGAGTCGAACCGAGTGATCAGCAGCAGGCGAGAGAAGCCGAGTGATCAGCAGCAGGCGAGTCGAACCGAGTGATCAGCAGCAGGCGAGTGAAGCCGTGCCGAGTCGGAGCCGATACGTGCCGTGTCGAGCAACCGAGTGGACGGCGACCACAGCCGAGCGGACTGAGTACGGATAGGTATGCGTGTATACGCACCCGTATATATATATATATATATATATGTGTGTGTGTGTGTGGTCTCCCCCTTCTCAATGAGTGTGCAGGGGGGCGAGGAAGGGGAGAGGGGGGGAGAGAGCTGCGTTGGTCAGGCGGTGGCCGACTGTTGGCAGTGGGTGGCCGCACCGATGGCGGAGCAGCAGTCGATCAGTGGCCGAGTAGCAGTCGGGCGATGGACAGCTGTGGATGTGTGATGAGGAGAGTCATGAGCAAAGTGTACGGAGCAAGGATGAGCATCATATATTCTTTCTCTGCAACCTTCTCCGTGGTGATGGATGTTCTCAGGATCGGTGATCTTTTTTTCGCACGAATCCCCCACGGTATCCATCCAGCCCCTCACACACACAGACACACCCACACACTTACACACACACGAGAATCACCTCCTTGTCCCCCTCCCCTCTTCCCCTCATCATATATCTCCTTTTTTCTGTGCTCATGTCCAACGATGTGATTGCTGCCTTCCATAGTGCCACGATCCACGGCGAATGGGAGGCGCGGGCGTCCTGCGGCAGTGCGGCACCTGGTCGGCGAGGGGACACGGCCTCGCTCTGACCAAAGCCGTCTTTGGTGGAACCGCACACTGCTCTACAACGACGACTATGGCAGGGTGCTGGAACCGGGCCAAGGCCATGCATGAGGCAGCTATGGCGGATGGCGACCTCTCGTTTGACGACGTGGTGGAGGCGCTGAAGGAGATGCTCCGTGAGGGCATTGAGTGGGCGGTGAAAAAGGCGTCCAAGCGCGGCGGCTTCCTCAAGAACGACGCCATTGCCATTCCCTGGCCGCCGCAGCTGCGGTCCATCAAGCGAAAGCTGAAGAAGCTCGGTGGCCGGAAGAAAATTGATGAGTTTGTTCGCCGCATTAACAAAGCCGCCGAAAAGGCGGCGCCCAAGGCCCTCGACGTCTTTGTTGCCGCCATCATGGGCCTCTCTCTCGACAAGGTTGATGATCTGCTCCACGGTAGCATCGACGCCGCCACAGACTACCTCCGCGAGTCGACCTACGACGTCCTCCGTGACATGTTTGCGCCCATCATCGACAGGACGCTCGAGAAGCATGCCGTCACTGCGGTCTGGGACAACATGATCGACATCTACGACGCCATCCCCTTCCTCTCCGACCTCTCGTTCGACCTCAACGACTACTGTGTCGAGCGTGCCCTTGACGGCCTCTTCTTCCTCGTCGCAGAGCGCGAGGCCGAGCTCCGCGACTCGCCGGAGCTCGCAAAGTCAGCAAAGATCCTTGCCGTTCTCAACAACATCGACGACTTGTTCTTCGACTCGTCCTCCTCTGATGGCGACTCGAGCTACTCGGGCTCCGGCTACGACTCGGGCGTCGACTACTCGTACTCGTAGCGCAGCTGCCCGCAATTGAAGCACATACTGGCCCGCGCTTTACTCGTTGCTCTCCTCGCTCACCATCCGCAGCACGTCGCCGAGCAGAATACTGACCCCACCTGAGGTCCACGCCTCGCGCTCGTCGCCCTCGATCTCGCCAACCACCTCGCCGAGCGCGTCGAGCGACGGGACGTCTGCCAGCTCGCGCGACGTCGCCACCGCGTACAGCATCGACGACCGCAGATGCTCCTGCAGTGTCGCGTCGTCAACCGCAGACTCGACCCGGAGCTGCGCCAGCTCCGGCCACGGGTCGGCCGTCACCACCGCCCGCCACACCAGCGGCTCGAGCTCCGCCAGCGCCCCGCCTGCCCGTTCGATGAGCTCGAGCGCAAGGACAAACCGCGACTGCGCGTCGCCGCCCATCTCCTCCGAGATGTACGCGAGTACCAGCTCGCGCGGCGTCAGCACTCGCTCGGCACTCTCAGGCAGCAGCTCTTGCGCGCGGATGACATACAGCTCGTTGTCGGCGCTCGCCACAGCCTCGCTGTCAAGCGGCGCTCCGTCCGCGAGGTGTGCGAGCTTGGCCAGCGAGACCAGCGTCTTGCGCCGCGCCGCGCTCGTACGCTCCTCGCCCGCCGCACCCGACAGCAGCGCACCCGCCTTGGCCGTCTCGCCCGTGGCAAACGCGTGGATCCACGCCAGGCTCTCGCGTGACTCGAGAAAGTGGGACAGCTGCGCAGGATACGCCTCGCCGAGCCGCAGCAGCGACGCGTGCCGCCCGCTCGCCATAAACGCCTGGAACGCTGCGTCGGCAAATCCGTCGCTCCCGTACGTGTCCATCAGGAACGTCAGTCGATCGTCGGCGTCGTCCGCCGCAAGCGCAAGGCCCACCAGCACCGTGTACGCCCCGTACTTTTGCCCGAGCTCGTACGCAAGCTCCGGCGCGCTCTCGGCCAGCCCGCCGATCAGCTCCTGCGCCGCATCCTGCAGCGCCACCGCCCGCGCCGCCGCAAGCTCGGGCTTCCCGACCGCCGCGTCAACGAGTTCGCCCAAAAGGCCGAGGTACACATCGAGCGCAGCGCCGGTCACCTCGATGAGAAGCTTGCCCATCGGCGAGACCAGGACGCCAAGGCTGCGGAAGAGCGAGAGCGCGAGCGTCACGTGCCCCGCAAGCTCGTTCAGCAGCTCACCGTCGTCGGACCACCACCGCGGCACTGCGCCGAGGCCCTGCACTGCTGCCGGCGTCCCTGCGCCAAAGCCGTAGACCTCGCCGTAAGACGCTGCGTACTCGCGGCCGGCCAGAAACGCCGCACCCAGCAGCGCACCCACGCCACCCACAATCGCAAACTGCGCCGCCGCCCACGCCTCGCCGTTCGCACTCGCCTCGCCGAGCACCTTTGACGACTGTTGCGCGAGGTGGGCCACAATCCGCGGCACCGTCGAGACCCTCGCGTAGAACACGTCCTGCGTCCCCAGGCCCGACCCGGCAAACGCTGTCAGGTCCACACCAGCCTCCGCGAGCACCTCATGCATTGCGCCGAGGTACACCTCTGAGAGCAGCGAGCCGGCCTCCAGCCCGAGCGCCTCCACCATGTCCTGGTGCACCTCGCGGAGCCGCTGCGCCGACGCCAGTAACTCGCCGTGCGACTGCAGCTTTGCCCGCGTCTCCACCGACAGCACCTCCCACCACCCCAGCTGCGAGAGGAGCGAGAGCAGGCTCTGGTGCTTCCGCGCCTTGGCCTCTAGCAGCCGCCGCACAATCGCCGAGCCCGCACCGGCAGCCGCAGCCTCGGCCTCGCTCACCCCGCGCTCCCCCAGCGTCGCTGCTGCCCACCGCGGGTCCGACGCCGGCGTTGCGTCCAGCAGCGCCCGCGACATGACCACCAGCGCATCGTCGAGCGCCCCACCACGCGGATCAAGCTCCGACGCCACGCCAAGCGCCCCACCCACGTCGCCCATACAGTAGAGCGAGTACGCCGCGCCAAGCTCGGCGTTCAGCCCAGCCACCCCGTCAAACTCGCGCAGGAGCTTGGCCGCAGGCCGGAGCCCGTGCCGCGCCATCCGGCCGCCGGTACCTCCCGGAGACCAGCTTCCCTCCGCTGCTGCAACTCCGGCGTGACTGCGAGTACCCGCGAAACTCGCCTCGAGCGCATCGTCCTGCACCACACTCACCACTCCGGTCGCCGCCGTGACAAACACCGCCCGCCCCGACCCGCCGCCCCCGGCGCCGAGCACCATGTTGTCGCTACCGGAAACTGCAAACGAGTCGAGCTCGCGCTCGTCAGCCGGCACCGCCGTCAGTACAATAAGTGACGGCGTGTAGACAAATGCGGCAGACTCCGACGACTCGGGCACCACCGCCGCTACCGAGAGGAACGACGCCGGATCGTACAGCGCCTCGCGCGCCTGCTGCTCGAGCGTAAACAGCGAAGTTATGGCCCGCTCTGCGACTCGACGCCTGCGAGCACGTATCCGAGCACTTCGGCCTGGAGATCGTACGCCGCTGCGAGTACCACCGCACTCTCGCCATGAGCCTGCACCGACCGCAGCTCGACACGGAGCGCACCAAGTCCGGCAAACGCATCGTCGCCCATGAGCTTGGCTTCGAGAGTCGCGTGGAGCTCGGCCCGCAGCGCACACTTTGCGTCGAGCCCGGTCACCTCGAACCGCAGCAAAACGCTCTCAAACAGCGCGTGGACAACGTACCGCCCAGAGCCGACACTCGCACTCGCCAGCTCGACAAAGTCACCGCCGGTAAACGGCCCAGCGACAGTAGAGTCGTCGGCCGCAGGCGCCGCCGTTGACGAGAGGCCAAAGACCGACGAGATGGCGCCGAAAATCGACGATGACGCGCCCGGCGCCGGGCCTGACGCCCGGCTCTGTCCACTTGTCTGTTGACCGGTGCTCGGCGCAACCCGGGGTCCGGCAAACCGCAGCCCATCGTCATCGAGCGAGAGGAGAGTAAGGCCACCAGCCGAGTCAACCACGGCTGCCAGCGCCGGATCAAGGACACTCACCGCCACTACCACCTTGTCGTCATCCAGTTCAAGCGAGAGATCGTCGACCCTATCCACTGCCGCCGGATCCGGCCAGTAGAACACGTCTCCGCCGGCCGAGGCCATGACGACACCGATAGGAGCATCAATCGAGTCTGCCTCCGAGAACACCACGTCAGCACGAGCGAGCATGCGCTGCGGTGCGTCGACGTGCGAGTCCGGGAGGGCCAGAACGGTAGCCTCCGGCGTTGCCTTTCCGGGAGCCGGGAAGTTTGCAAAGACATAGATCGATGACGCCACCGCCACCATGGACACATTCCCACTGGCAGACACCGCAGCAGCCGCTTCTGTCGAGCCCGGCCCAACCACCGCAGCTGTTGCACCACGAGCCGACTTTCCGCCAGCCTTGGCGAGGGCAGCCGCCACCACTTGCGGCAGCGGCGAGACGACCGACACTGTGTGCCGCTCTGTAGCATGAAGAACAGTACCAGGAGCGAGGACCTTGCCAAGACTATCTTGCACGGCGAGACCAGCCAGATGCGGCGAGGTGGTGGTGGTGGTGGTGGTGGTGGCCGAGGTTGCCGTGTTGGTGGTGTTGGCCATGGAGGTCATGGTGGTGGAGAGGTCATCCTCACCAAGTCCTGGAGAGGGAGGAGAGGGAGGTGCGGGTGTAGCACCTGATGTACAAATAGAGAACAAGAGTGACTTGCTGTGAGTGTATATGCTGTAATGACCTTGGTAGGGGGGATATTCCCCTTGGCGACCTGGTGCCGCTCTGCGACATGACAAAGCGACTTCATCCCGCGCCAACCCCCTCACCCCCCCTCACCCCCCCATGTACACAGAAGGGAACAATAAACATAGAACAAATATAAACACACCATTACGTCGAGACATAGATGAAGTACGTGGACGCCGACGGGCAGATCCAGGTGCGGAGCCTGGCGTTCGCCAGGGCGTCTGTACCGTCGTGAACATCCCGCCGTCTCGCAGAGGGGTGCCGGACGAACTGCCAGTGACAGAGCCATTCGCCAACGCTGACTCGCTCGCTCGCTCACTCGCTCGCTCGAGCCACACCTTATGGCGAGGCTACGGTTGGATGTCCGATTGCAGTGACGGGATCACAGTTGCGTGTTATGCGGCGAGTAGGGGGGAAGGGGGAGGGGAAGGGGGGAGGGACGCAGATCATGCTGATTGTGATCTGTGTTACTTACTGCTGCTGACCAGGGGCCGGAGCGGGAGGGAGGGGATGCAGGAGCAGCAAGGTGATAAGGTGTGAGCGAGAGCAGCGAGATAATGGTTGCACATCAGAGCCAAAGACAGGATACAAGATGTCCAGGGTAACCCTGACACGCGATAATGTGGGCCGTCGGAGGGCTTTGGGAAAGAGCATGGCTTCCGCGGTGGCGGCCTTGTGATCGTTACGATCGGGTAAACCAGAAGAACCACGGGTATGATGGTGAGGCGACGAAAAAGACGGCACCAACGGTGATGACGGTAAGCGCCCAGCCGCAGCTGGCGACTGAAGCAGCAAGGGCAAGCTCGCGCCAGCTGCGCCAATTCGAGAGGCCGCCGTAGCGAGCGATGCGCTGCCATGTGTGGCGGAGACGGGTAAAGGCAAAGTAAGACCCGATGGCGATAATGCGGACAAGGAGAAAGGTAGTCCATGCGGTACCAGGTGGAGCGATGCACCATGGGCACGATGGGGTCGACGGATCATGGACGTTGCACTTTGCCCAACCTCCAGCCCAATTGAAGGTGCACCCGCACTGAAACATGACGCCGCACGATGGGTTGTGGAAGATCCAATCAAAGGCATAGACAGCACCAACCACAGCCATGACCTCCATCGCCAGCCGCCAAGCAGCGTCCTTGCCCACGTCAACCGTGCCATCGACGACCACCACACGGACCGACTCTCCACCAGCATCACTCGATCCCAACTCGAGATCATCACCCAGCAACGGAAGCAAGTCATCAGCGTGTCCACCATCGTGTTGTACTTGTCCACCATCATCATGCTGGGCAATACGACCCAGTCCATTCCAGCCTCCATCAAATGCATGCTTCTTCATCCCCATCCCCATCGATCCGCTCACGGGCTCATGCTCTGGCTGCCAGTCTTCAGCCACCTGCGGTTCATGCAGTGGCTGCAGAGCGCTGTTCGTCTGACTGTAGTCCCTTGCACTAGCTTCGGTCATGGTGGAAGAGTTGAGTGGTTGCTGGACAACTCTAGCCCGTGCCACGCCCCGTCTCCTGCCGGCGTCTCCCAGCTGCCGTGGGTGGCGTCATCTGCGGAGGATACGGTGGAGAATTTTTTGTTGGTGATGTGCGCCGGGCACAGCACCAGTCGCACCAGTCGTGCGCTTGCCGTATTCGACCTTGTACTTGTAGAACGTCAAGCCATGCGTAGCTCGCCACTGCTTGGCTTTGTGCCATCGATCCCACGGGCAGTAGCACTCCCAGCTGCCGCGTCATCTGCGGAGGATACGGTGGAGAATTTTTTGTTGGTGATGTGCGCCGGGCACAGCACCAGTCGCACCAGTCGTGCGCTTGCCGTCATCGACCTTGTACTTGTAGAACGTCAAGCCATGCGTAGCTCGCCACTGCCTGGCTTTGTGCCATCGATCCCACGGGCAGTAGCACTCCCAGCTGCCGTGGGTGGCGTCATCTGCGGAGTTGGTGATGTGCGCCGGGCACAGCACAAGTCGCACCAGTCGTGCGCTTGCCGTATTCGACCTTGCACTCGTAGAACGTCAAGCCATGCGTAGCCTTGCCGGCTGTTCGACCTTGCACTATCAATCGCTACGGTGAAAGAGTACCAGTGCCGCCATCATGGCCGCGTACGCCAGCGGCGCGTACAACCCGGCGACGTACGAGGACCCGGCGATGGCGCCCGCCTACCGCCGCAGCGTCGCGCAGCCGTCGAGCAACGACATGACGTGTTTGCTGTCAAGGCGCTCCTCGAGCAGACTGTGCCGAAGGACAGCGGCCTGCTGGCGAGTGCCTTGCACGCAGCCGTCGCCTTGGACGCGGTGCCCGAGACGCACTACTGCCGCGAGATGTGGAAGGCGACGCGGGAGATCGGGCGGTTCGACGGCGAAGGGTCCGAGTGGTGCACCGCTGCGCTCTCTGCGCTCGTGGGCATCCCGCTCGACACGAAGCTGGAGCTGCAGCTCGATCCTAGCCCCAAGGCGTCGTCGCCGCCGCCCACCACTCCGCCAAAGTGAGCGCCGTGCTCTCCCGCTCCCTGCGCCACGCTCTCCAGTTCCCTGTCGCCGATTCGCCGGAATGTGTGCGAGTTATGCAACACTTTTCGCTGCTTCCCTCCTCCGGCCATGAATGCGCTGCAACAGACGCTCACGCGTCTGCATGCGTTCTGCCGACCAGTACCGGACAACCCTGCGACAGAGGGGCTCCTCACAGCACCATCGCCGCCACTGACGCAGGTAGAGGCACTGGCAAGTGCGATGAGCTCGGGTCGGTTGCCACGGCGACATCTTCTCGCCGCGCCTGCACCGCTCCTGGCGGCCTTTCTCAAGCGATCGCTCATGGCACTGCCCGATCCGCTCCTGCCCCCGGCAGCGTACTCCCTGCTTCTGCCGACGGATTCATCGTCGCCCGATGCATGCGACGCAGACTCTGTGGCAGCAGCCCTGAGCGCTGTTCCGCCGCAAGATCTGGCCGTCGTGCTGTCCATCTTTCATCTGGTGCACACGGCGCTGCTTGCGGTGAGAGACGAGCGCGGCGAGGGCGAATACAGTCGGTACCTGCTTGCGCTCGCAGAAGAGCTCGCGCCACCGCTCCTCCGAGCCGCGGATCTCAAGACGTCTGTGACCAACGCTGGGCGTGCTGTAGCGGTCATGGTCTCGCTTCTCGACGTCGATGCGCCATCGTGTGTTGCTGCCAGCGTGCTTGCGCGCGAGAAGAAGCTGAGCGAGTCGCTGGTCATGCCTGAGGTCTTTGGCGCAACGCTGGCGAAGGAGCATGAGCCCAGCAAGGTACCACCATTTGTGGACGCTGTCTTTGGTGCCGTCCAAACGACGCTGGCCTCGCCGCCGTCTGCGCCGTTGCTGCACACGCTCTGGGGCCTCTTCGTCCCACCGGTGGTTGGGAGCGGAGCGGCCAGCGGCTCGGCCGGCGTCTCGCTCGCCAACGACGTCCGCAAGGCTCGGGCGGGCATGGCTAAGGCCAAGTCGTGGGCAGACGCACTCAAGGGCAAGTCACCGGTCGTTCTCAGCCTGCTCTTTGTGCAGTACCTCGACGAGCTCGCCACGCCGCTCATTCCCTACGAGGTGGCGACGGCCGTACTCAGTGCAGGTGGCACAGACCACGCTCCGCTCCTCACCCGCATGCACCCGGTCCACCAGACGGTCCTCGCCCAGCTGGTGCTCCTCCTTCAGTCGCTGGTTGCCTCGCTTGATGCTGTCGCTGGCTGGGCCAAGTCCATGGTTGGCCGTAAGACAAAGGCGCGATCGTCGCGGATTAAGGCTCGGACCGCTGAGCTGGCAGCGAGAGTCGATGCCGAAACCTCAGCCTACCGCCTCGCCACTGCGCTCGGCTCGCATCTTTTCGCCTCTCACCGCATCCCGAGTCGTTGTCGGGCAAGGCGCGCTCGGCTGCTACCGCAGTTATCCGGCAGTGGCTGACCGGCGCTGACAACGCAACGTTCTCGGCCATGGCCTCGGCGGCGCGCAACGTGGCGCTCCCGCGGCCACAGACAGACTCGGCTTCAACACTGCCGCAGACGGGCGGCGCGTTGCAGTCGGCCTGTGCATCAGAGCCAGCCAGCTTGTCGCAGCTGGATCTGCGCGACTCGGCACCCCACCTCGAGTCGTCAACGTCGATGTCGCTGGCTTCAGCGAGCTCAGCCGTACGACCGCTCTCGTCGGTCCGCCGCCGGAACAGGCGACTCTCGGACGCGCCGATGTCTGACTTTCTCAAGCGGCGTTCTCGGGACGCGGGCATGAGCGACGACGGCCAACAACCGGCGATGCTGAGCGTGGGTTTGCCTGGGACCCAGTCTGGACCACCAACGCCAGCATCGGGTCTCGATACACCAGCCTCGTCGATGGCCTCAGTCCCGCACTCGCCGTCGGTGGCATCAGCGAGCGGGGCCTCGGACCGCTCGCTGCAGCGAGCGTTCTCGTTTGACGACGCTGATGCGGGTTCGGATTCCGCGGCTCTGTCAACACTACTGGATGCCCTCGCAGCACCGGACGGTCTCGACTTTACCACCATTTACCTTGCCGCAAGCTCGGTGCCGCTGCAAGACACTCTGGCTGCTATCACCAAGGTGGTAGCTGCGTTTGTTGGCCAGATGGAGCAGCGGTGGCGAGTTCGAAAGCAGTTCCGCCAACCGCAACTTGGCGAGTTGCTCGGCGCCCTTCTTGTTGTCCTCGATCCGATTGTTGATCACCGCAGGAGTACGGCTGCCGCGACTGAGCTTGGCTCCTTGGAAAGCTGGCTGGCGATGACGCAGCTGCCGACACACGACGTGGCGTTGTTGCTGCTTGCTTCGTTTGACGCACTGCTTCGTGATGTGGCTCGAAGCGGAGCTGGCCCGACGAACCAAGCTTTGAGTGCAACGTCAGCTGCGGTGCTGCTTGCCAGGCTGGCGGGCGATGCAGCCGTCCTGGCGTGCAAGGACAAGTCCGGACTGGCGCGCGGGCTTGTGATGGCAATTGCGACGTTTCTCGAGTCGGTGTGTGATGCTCTTGGCGGTGCTGGGGCTCAAGCGGCCCGGGCACGCGAGCTACTGGCACCGTGCCTTTCGCACCTTTTCGGCGCTCTGACCGAGTGTCTTTGGGTTTGCGAGGTGCGCGAGAGGGAGCTCAACGCGACGCCGAGCATCAATGCCAACTTTGTGTCGCGGACGTTCCAGGTCCTGCATCAAGTGTGGGGCGCCGTGGTCGGCGCGTTCATCGACGGGGCGCTTGGATCGCCAGCGGCGGCACGCGCGGCCGACACGTTGTATCTTTATCTGCTGTCATTACTCGAGGTGGACGCACTGCTGTGGACGCAGGACCTCGTGCTGGAGGCGGCGTCACAATGGGTGCTGGAGGCGTCAACCCGAGTCGGAATCCAGCTGGGATGCCAGGGCGCAGCTCGGGAGCCGTGGACGTCATCGCTCCGCGACGCTGTGCTGGTAGCAGTGGCACAGATGCTCGCGTTTCTCTCTGACAAGGCCTCTTCGACGCGTCTGACGTATCCAGGCATCCATGCAATCGACGCACATGTGCCAGCCGCACTTGTGCTCCTCGCGCAGCGGCTGGCTGAAGACGGCCCAGAGGACGAGGCGACGAACGTGGCGCAACTTCTGGGCGAGGCGCTTGTCGACGCGGCCATGTCGACTGGAGCGCGGCAGCTGCACGCAGTCTTTACCGCGTCGGCGGTGCTAACGACACCGGCTGTGCTCGGCATAGTTCTCTCCCACGGTGTGACGCGCGGCCTGCTGCCGCTGGCGCGAGACCGAGCAGAGGCGACCGGGTGCGTTAAGCTTCTGGCCGAGCTCATCGGGTGCGGAGTGCGGCTGGGCGGGCGCGGGGCGGATTTGGAGACGTGGGCGCGCCCAGGTGCGGCGGCGCTGCTGGCGCTGGCGTCGCGATGGATTGACTTGTTTGTCTCTGTCCCACACGAGCGGCTGTTTGAAGAGACGCTGCTGCTCGAAAAGATGCTGGGCAAGCCGGAGAGACGGATGCCCGCAAGCACAGAGCTGGCCCAGGATGTTCTGGCACTCGCGGCGGTGCTCGCGGCGTGGTCACCGGCCGAGTCGTCGACGAGATCACTCGCACTTGTTCGGCGTTCACTAGAACGGTGCGTGGCACAGGCAGCCGGGTTCGGCGGGGCGCTGCCAAGTCTGGCGCGGGTCTTGCACGAGGAGCACGTGAGCGGCACTACGCTCGAAGCGCTTCTGCGCGAGTCGTTGGCATCGTTTGGGCCGAGCGTGTGGGCGGCGTGAACGAGGTCTCGCTCTTTCTCACCGGCGCGTACGCTCTCAGTGACGGGCATGCGCTCCTGGAGCTTGCAAGCGCGCATGCAGAGCAGTGCGCGCCGTCGGCCGGTTATGGAAGCAACGTGTTCCTGGCCGAGGCTCGGAGTCGATGCGGCGCTGCTGGCGATAGCGCCGGGCTTGGGCGCCTGATGTGGATGGAAGTAGTGTGGACGGCAAAGGGCATACCTGTGGCAAGGACACAGCTGGGCAAGGCAAGACTTGTGGCCGTGCTGCAGAACGAGGCGGCTTTGCTGGTGGCCACCATCGACGCGCTTGCAGCGCTCGAGAGCGGCGGAGCGTGGGACTTGGCACACGAGGTACTTGACGTGCTCGACGCGGTCTACGGCGACTCGCCCAAGGATCGACACGGCATCGCGCTGCGGCGAACGGGCGTGTACGAGGCAATGGCGTTGTCTGGCGAGCTTGGGCATGTAGCTCTCCCACGATGGGGCGTCATCTACCTCTACACGGGCGAGGACGGCAGCGAGCACGTGCTCGCACAACTTTCGGTTGGGCGCGAGCCATGCCTTTTGGCAACGCCCGGGCCGGAGCTGACGGCATCGCATGCGCTCTGGCTTGCAGCGCAGAACTGGCAAGCCGGGCGGTCGCTGGGCACCATGTTGGCGACGGCGACCCACAACGGGTGTGTCGGACATGCAGTTCTCCCGCTTGAGTGCGGAGTCGATGGCATGACGTGGATGTACCTCGCCGAGGATGTGATCGAGGTCCACTTTAGTGTCAGCGGATGGAGCGCGCCGTATGTGGCGGATGCGCCTGCGGTATGGGCCGAGGTCTTTGTGGCTAGCCGAAGCGTCGAGTAAAGGCGGGCGTGATCAGTGGACGTTGACGTGGAGCTGGAAGCCGAGCCGGAGGTACTGAAGCCGAACGCGGAGATCCGAGTCGCACAGCTCGAGGGCGCGGCCGAGCATGGCATGGGCTTCGCTCAGCTCACCGTCGTTCAGAAAGTCATCGGCAAGCGCGAGAACCTCTGCGTAGATGTCGGCCTTTTCGGCGGTGATGTAGCAGAGACACGGCGTGAACGACTGCTCGCCGTGGGCCTCGAGCTCGGCGCGGTGCGCGGCGCACGTCTCTGGATGAATGGTCAGTGTTGGAGCGGCAAGCGCCGGTGATGTGCTGGGCACGGCATTGGGTGTACAGAACGAGTCATCGGCGTCGTCAGAGTTGCGACGGGTGGGTGTCTGGTTCGGAGTGTGGAACATCGATGGCGTTGTGGGCGAGGACGGAGTGACCGGAGTCGACGGCGCATCGGAGAAGACGTCGGTGCTGTCGTCGAGGATAGGATGGGCCTGGGCGTCGACCATCGGATTGTTGACACTGTCGGTGCTGTCGTCGAGGGTAGGATGGGCCTGGGCGTCGACCATCGGGTTATTGACACTGTCGGTGCTGTCGTCGAGGGTAGGCCCATCCAGATCGTCGATAGCGGAGTCGGCCACTCTCTCGACCATAACATCACCAACGCCAAGTCCATCACAAAGCCCACTGTCGTTATCGCCACTTACCATGCAGGAGCCCGCATCGTTGATGAATGCCAGGTCCTCAGCAGCTGCGGCTAGATGCTCAAAGTGGACGGCAGCAGCTTTTGAGAAGAGCAGATCGTGGTCGGAGAAGCCGATGAGCGAGGCGGTGCACTCGGCGGCGATGGCGTCGAGCTCGGCGGCAACAGCCGGAGGAGCCTCGCGTTGCTCGGCATGAAGCGAGTTGAGCTGGTCCATTGTCTGCGACGACGTTGTGTCACCAAGAGCAAAGATGTCGGCAAGGTCCGACTTGGTAAAGTAGCGATAGGCGTTGTGGTCTTCGGTGACGGCCTTGATGAGGGTACCCTTGAACACCTGCTTGCGGTAAATCTTCTCCTCGACGGTGCCTGCGCAGATGAGGCGGAAGACGACTACGTCGCGTGTCTGACCAATCCGGTACGCGCGGTCGACAGCCTGTGCATCCATCGCCGGGTTCCACTGCGGATCAAAGAGCACGACCCGGTCGGCACCGGTGAGGGTGACCCCGACGCCGCAGCTCTGGGTCGTCATCAACAGGATGAAGATGTCCGAGTCGGCAGCATTGAACGCATCGATCCGTCCCTGTCGCTCGGCAGTCGAGCTAACAGAGCCGTCGATCCGCGACCAGGTGTAGCCGTGGGCGGCGATGAGCCCCTGCAGCAGGTCGAGCATGCGAAGCGACTGTGAGAAGAGCAGGACTCGGTGGCCGTCGGCAGCCAGCCGGCGGAGAAGCTTGAGCAGAAACACGACCTTACCCGAGGCCATCTCGGCCATGCCGGGCTCGTTTGCGTCGAGGCCGAGACCGGCCGAGCAGAGTGACGACGAAGCGAGGAGAAACGGATGAGAGCAGATCTTCTTGAGCACGTCAATGGCCGCCAGTGGCGACTTGGACTGGTTGAGCGTCTCTGCAACCGTGTCCGACTCGAGAAACTGCTCGTAGATAGCATGCTGCGTCGTCGAGAGCGGAATCCAAGCAATGACGTCCTTCTTCTCCGGCATTTCGGCGGCGACAGCAGCTCCAGCGTGCTCGCGGCCGGTATCGTCGCCCGTCACCGCCCCACTGTCATCACCGGCGGAAGGCAGAACGTCGGCCTTTTCGCGACGGAGAATGTAGGGAGCGAGCGTCTCGCGTAGCGTGGACGCCAGCGCCGCGCCGCGCCGCTTTTCGTAGTACGACGCGTCTGACGCTGATGCATCGCGGATCGGGTTGGCATAGAGATTGCGGAACGAAGCGAGGTCGCCGAGAAGGAGCCCATCGGTGAGATAGTCCATGAGCGCCCACAGCTCTTCGAGATTGTTCTGGACAGGCGTGCCGGTGAGAATGAGCTTGTGTTTGGCGGAGAGAAGACGGACAGCCCGCGAAATCTGTCGCGACGCGTTCTTGATCCGGTGGCCCTCGTCAAGAATGACATAGTCAGCAGGTGCAGCGGCGAGGACGCCGGGAGCCGATCGGACGACACCATAGGTGGTGACAACAGCACGCGGCCCACCATGTGCGGTAAACTGACTAAATCTACGGGCGCGAGTCTTTGCGCTTCCGCCGTGATGGACAAGGACGTCGAGGCGCGGAGCCCACTTGGCAAGCTCTGCGCACCACGACTCGACGACAGCGACCGGAACGATGAGCAGAACGAGGTCAAGATCGCGGGCGGCAGCAAGTGACTCGAGGAACGATGCCACCTGGACAGTCTTGCCGAGACCCATCTCGTCGGCAAGAATGCCGCCCCCGAGCGACGACGTGTGCAGCGCGTGCATCCACATCACGCCATCCTGCTGGTAAGCGTACAGCTCCGAGGCGATGGAAAACTCGGGTGGAGCCGCGTCGACAGACTCGGGTGTCGGCGGGTTGTCGGCTGCGCGCGCAACGCCTTCCGGCGAACGCGGTGGCGTCACGTACTCGTACTCGTACTCGTAGCGACTCTCGCCATGACCGGCCATGAGGCGACGGAACTCGACGTCAAGCTCGTACGAGTCCTCCGAGTCGGACAATACACTTGCCGCCGGACCAAGGCGCATCGACGGCGGCGGAGTGACAGATGCTGACGGCGAGGGCGATTCCGAGGGCGACGACGGTGGCGAGTCGATCGCCAGCGTCGAGAGCGCATTGACCAGCGCATCGAGCTGCGTCACGCGGTCGTCAGCCGAGTCCGAGTCCGACTGCGACTCGGAATCAGAGTCAATGACTCGCCGCTTGACCGGTTGCGGTTGCAGCTCCGGCTGCGGGTGAACGGGCGCGTTGGTGCGACCGAGAACTCGGTCGACACTCAGTGCACCGGCAGCAAGCATGGCGTCGATGGCGGCCTGCGAGCGGACGATGGCCTCGATAGGGATGTACTTGCCGGTCAACCACAGCCGGCGCAGGTTGCGGTCCATGAGCTCAGCCAACGGCAGCCTGGGCATGACCACAAACTCGACGGCGTAGCCTGCCTCGACCGCCATGGCCACAACAGCCTTCATGCTCGAAATCTTGGCGTTGGTGTTTCCCCACGCCAGCGGTGTCGCGTTGTCGGACATCAGCCTCTTCATCCGTGCCTGGCACTCACGCACACCGACTCTAATGTTGGTGAACGAGTACTCGGCACATGTCTCGCTCTCGTTGCGGGCACACAAGCCATGCTTGGACGGAGAAAACCGTGCCAGCGCGTCGACCACCGCTTTCGCCAGCATCTCGCTCTCCTCGCTCGCGATAGTCGCCTTGAGCTCCTCCCGCAAATCTTCGACGTCGTACCCGATGTGGCGACGCTGAGATTGGCTTGAGTTGGAGATAGAGTAGCGAGCGTGGTGATGATCTTGGTCGTGATGGTGATGATCTTGGTCGTGGTGGTGATGATCTTGGTCCTGCTCTTCGACGATTTCTGCCAGAGCCGCCTTGACCAGTCCAACCTGGCTGCGTGGACTGACGTCCTCCCACAGGATGTGGTGATACATGCCATCAGCGTCATCGAGGCAGACATCTACGGCATCGGTCTCGGTGGCGAGGAAGTGACTCTTCCCCGAGTTGGGCGGGCCGACAGTGATGTACACCACCGGCTTACGTGCATGCATCCCGGCATGCACCTCATCTCCAGCTCGTCCGTTTGTCACGTCCGCAAGTGGCGTCCATTGCGTCGTCATCGTCGAGAGAGAGAGCTGTGTCTGGCCTGTGAGCCTGGTGGTTGTCGTCCTCGTCCGTGTCTCCCTTCCCCGCCCGCTTGCCTGCCTGACAAGGCGACTCGGCTCTTTTGGCGCCAACCACCAGCCACGATTGAATTACCTTGAATTAATGGTACGATTACCACCACAACAACTAATCGTATACTGCACTGCCCCACGCGCCCAACGATTACCACCACAACAAATACTCGTACGGTGGTGGAGACCAATTATCGAGCGGCTGAAGTCAGTGTCGGGGGGGGTCATCACTCCAATACACGCCACGCACAGCCGCTACCCCCCCCCCCCCCTCCCCCCCCCACACACGCACACACGCACAACCACCACACACCATCCATATCCACACACACGCCTTGTGCTCCACAAGTGTAGTGTACTGGTAACCTCCCACACCCAGCCTCTAGCATCCACCACCACCACCACCACCACCACCACCTCGTCTCACAGTGACCATGCTGAAGCCGCTCCTGGTCGCCATGGTGGTCATGGTCATGGTCATCGGCACGGCGACCACTCCAACTACGGCTGCCACCGTCACTGTCTCTCCCACAAGCTACACTGTTGCGGAGATTCAATCTGTGCTCTCATCGGTTACAGCAGGTACCACAGTGGTCGTCCCCTCGGGCACGTACACTGGCTGCGCCATCAGTGGCCCCCTCTCGTTCCCATCCTTTGCGGATAACGTGGTTCTGCAAGGTGCTGGCCTCGGACGAACCATCATTGACTGCTCTGCTGACAATGAGAGGATTGTCATGCTGGCCAACACCGGGCAAAACGCCATCGTGGAGCACATGACTTTGCGCGGCGGATCCGCGACTGATCTTGCTGCAGACAGGCACGGTGGATGTGTGGAGCATTCGGGCTCGGGCTCGTTTGTTCTGCGACATCTGCATCTGGACGGATGTAGTGTCGGCGGTAGTGGCTCGAGCATTGGCTACAAGGGCGGCGCCATCCACGTTGGTGGTTCCAGCGCCGCATCGCGGATCGAGGATGTGCGTATCACCAACTCGTACGCACAGACCGGCGGTGGTGCCCTCGCCCACACTTCGTCTACTGCGCTCACTCTCGAGCGTGTGGTCATTGAGGACTGCTCGGCGGGCATCGGCGGCGGGCTGTACATTGCTTCGACCTCCAGCTTCTTCATGATCGATTCTACTGTCCGCCGCACAACTGCTGTGGCGGACGGCGGTGGGCTGTACTTGAAGCTCTCCGGTACTCGCGACCTCTCATCGGTCACGGTTGCCGATTGCTCAGCTGGCGGCAACGGCGGCGGCATGAGTGCCACCACGGGTAACTTCCTGGTCAACTCGATCGTGCTCTCGGGCAACACTGCGGTAAGTGGCGGCGGCCTTTCCGCGTCAGCCGTCTCGGGCACTTTTACCAATGCCTATGTTTTGGGAAACGTGGCTGTCACGGGTGGTGGTGTGCACTCGTTTGGATCTTCGAGCTTTGGCCTTGTTGGTGCCGTCATCTCTGGCAACACCGCATCTGGCGGCAACGGCGGCGGCGTGAACCTTGAAAACGGCCAACTCAGAGCCTGACCGACTCGATCCTGTCACACAACGTCGCGACCGGGTGTGGCGGCGGGATGACGACTTCCATCTCGGGCTCGACGTCGTCGTCATCCAACGTCACGTTCCTCGCCAACACGGCCAGTTCCAACGGGGGCGGCCTTTGTGCACTCGGCGCTCACACGGTCGACATATTGCCAGCGTTCTTCACTGGCAACACGGCGGGCAACCATGGCGGTGGCATCTACATTGCCGGGCCAGCGGTCAGGACCTTTGATTCGGCCAAGCTTGAGGGTAACGTCGCCACCAACGGCTCGGCCGTGTGGTTCGGCGCCGGCTCGTCGTCGTCGCTCCGCAACTCGCTTGTGACGCGCAACCTCGCCACTGGTGTCGGCGCGGTGTATCTGGAGGAGGATGGGTCCAGCTTTGTCGACTTGGACGGATCGCAAGTGTGTGGCAACTACGGGCCGGCGCCGCAGCTCGGCCTCAACATCTACTGCGGCACCATTGGGCGTCTCTCGGGTGGTACGCCTCCCACAGGAGAGTGCCACGGGACCGGGCTCTGCGCGCACGGCCCGGACACCTGCACCTTTGCGTTTGTCCCGACCTCGTGCTCATCGTGTGCGGCAGGATGGAGCGGCCTCGAGTGCGATGTTCCTGAAAACTGCGCGGAGGTGTCCGTCTCCGGCTGCCTCGCGTGTGCACCCCAGCACGGCCTAGTCACAGAGACCTCGGCCCGGTACGGCGGGTGCGAGCACTGTGCGTCTGCTGGCAAGATCTTTGTCAGTACGTGGCAACCATGCGCGGCCGCGCCGCCACCGCCACCGCCGCCGCCGCTGTCGTGCGACGTCGGCTATGAGCCGCAGGCTTACGACAACGGTACGACGAGCTGTGTCGACGTCGACGAATGCGCCCAGGCCTCGGCCAACTGCACCGGGACCGGCGTTGTGTGCATCAACGAAGAGGGATCGTATTCGTGTGAGTGTGGTGATGGCTTTGTCAGCGCCGGAACGAACGAGTGCACAACGGCGCGTGAAACTCGGACAGCCGACGCGCTTATCTCGTTCAACTCGCCAGCGACGTCGCAGGTCTCGATCTCGGGCTACTGGCTTCTTTTCTGCTCGTTCTTGGACTGGGGTACGGCCAGTACGCGCGCGTGGTGAACCGGCGGATTGTGCGCAGCGATGACACGGTTGTGACGCTCCCGCTCCACGCCAAGATGGTGCGCGGGCATAGCCTTGTGGGCATTCTGGCTGTCCGTGCTAGCGATCCGTTCAACCGGTCGGCCCGAGTTCTCTCGCTGGCTCTCTCGTTGGCGGTCATGCTCCTCACGGTGGCACTGCTGCTCTTCGCTGATCCAGCATCGTACGCCTCCGGCTCTGGATGGGGCGCTGACGTACTACTCAACATGCTCCTCTCGGCGGTGGTGGGCACGACGCTCTCTGCTGTTCTGGGCACCAGCGTCATTCGCTGGGCAATGCGATCGCGATCGGAGCTGCTGGCCCGCTTCGGCTTTGTCGCCGGCCTCGTCCTCGCCGGCCTGCTCACCGGCGGCATTGTGGTGCTCTTTACGCTCGCGGATCAGCTCCCGGGCTACTCGCTTCCGTTCGACAAAGTGCTCGCCTCGTGGCTTGTCTCGATCGTCATCTCATGGCTCGTCACCGAGCCGGCCATGACCGCGTTTAAGTTCCTGGTTTTTGGCGAGGTCTTCGTGCGGGTCACCTACATCGAGCGCATGATGAGCACAGCCAAGGTTGGCCCGGCCTCGGAGCTGAATGCCGCCCTGGAATCGGCCAGCGCCATCACCAGCGACATGTCAGATTCGGCTCACTCACTCCCCTCCTCGCTTGGCTGACAGGGGATGTTTCTCCTCCCACACATTACTACATTTCACCAGAAACAGCGGCTGCTGTGGCGAGGCCAGGCAGCGCTGCATCGTCATCGTCGCCCGAATTTGCGTAGTTAGTTGTTCCCCGGGGAGCATTCGTCTCCAAGCTCTTCCTTCCCCGTCCACCCTCATCAAACATGACCGAGAGCGTGCCCATCCCACGCCCGACACCAACATCACCCTGGCCACCTCACCAAATGGCAGCGTGTTTGGAACAACTCCAGGAGGTAGGTTGGCATGTCGCACGCGCGCAGCTATGTGCATGGCTGGCTGTGAGAAGGGAGGGGGAGGAGCGAGGAAGTTCAGGTGCTGCGGGTTGCCGGGACGGTTTGCGCCTGCGCAGAGTTTTCGGGAGCACAAACGCCTTCATGTTCAACGAGTTTTCTGCGCACACGCAAAGAATAGGCGCCTCTACCGCAAGCCTCACGAGCGAGGTAGAGTTGGTCGGACAGGCAAGCCAACGCAGTCGTCTCTCACTCTCTCTCTCATGCACACACATCATTGGTCGAAAATAGGTACCCGCATCACATACTCGCGTGACTCGCTGCTGCAACTACGCGATCAGCTTGGTCTCTCCCCACCGCCATCCGACATGCCTGCCATCCCAGGCATTACTGCACCCGATGACGGCTGCGACGATGACGCAGGTGTAGTGGTGGACTCCAGTGCTCATGGAGACGCCACGCCTGCTGCGGGCAGCGTCGCCGCGGCTCCGCCGCCGTCGGGCGAGCCTGATGCCGACATTGGCCAGCCGCTGTTTACCATGGATGCTTGAGGTAAAGGTGCTCACGAGCAGTTCACTCGTCAAGAAGTGCCCAGAGCGATATGAGCCGCCGCTCGATCTGCCAGGGGCAGAGCGGGCCGGCGAGCATGGTGTGCATGTCGGGGAGGGCACGGGCGACCATGCTCGCGATGCGGGCAGTGGCCGGGAGCGTGCGTGCCGACGGAGTTGCGGTCCTGTTCGGCAGTTGGGCGCGGCGCGCGTCGCGCCGCAAGCGCCGTGCACGCTTCTCGGCTTCAAAGTCGGCCTCGATCGGCGCGGCACGGTGGAGAAAGCCAAAGTACGCCGCCCACTCGCCAGTCGGCGGTACCTCGCCCATGGCCCATGCCTCGGCGTAGACAGCGGCACGCAGGCCGTCGAGCGCGGTCGCAACTGCACCCTGCTGCTCTCGCCCAGCCTCGGCGACCAAGGCGAGGAGCGGACGGACGATGCTGCGCCGGCGGACAACGTCGTCGACCTCGGGCGCCGCCGCCAGCGCAGTGAGCAGTGGCACCGCCAGCAGCGGCTCGCGCCCGGCGAGTTCGAGAAGGCTATCCATGTCCGGCTGGAGTGCCCGCGTGACTGCGCCGCCGATTCCGGGTGCAGCCACAAGTCGCGCCGCTGCTAGCCAGACCCGCCGCCGGGCGTCGTGGGGGTCGCCGTCGCGGCCGGCAAGCTTCATCAGCAGGTCGACGCCAACCTGGGCGTCGAAAACGTCGACATGCGTAGTGTCGACCGTGGCGCCCTCGTGTGCAAAGACGTACGCCACGCTCGCCAGCAAGCACGCGCCGGCAGCCACCAGCTCGGACGAGAGGGTGGCCGACTCGGCCACAAGAACCGCCATGGCGGTGTTGATCAGGCCCGAGTCCAGCAACGTCTGTCGGTGGAGCGGGGTACAGACCAACATGCCGGTGATGGCCGCCAGCGCCGGCAGCCGCACAAGGTCGGCGTGGTCGGCAAAGCCGACCAGGGCGAGGGTCAGGTTCTGGATTCGCACGTCCGACGGTGGAAGCGAGCGCGCCGCTACAGTGGCTGCCTCAACATGCAGCGCCGCCGCGACTACACTCGCCTCGGACAGGTGGGCTGCTGCCAGCCTTGCCGAGGCGTCCAGCACCTGCATCCGCCAGCCGCACTCGATCTCGGCGTCGGCGACGACGCCAGCATAGACGCCGAGGACGACCGCGGCGAGGGTCGCGTCATGAACGGGAGGCGGCACAAGATCGCATAGCACCTCGAGCCCGCCGAGCTCAACAAACCGCTTGCGGGCGTACTTGTCGGTGCTAACCGCAGCGGAGAGCAGTGCGACAAGCCCAGAGGTGAGCGTCACCGGAAGAGGGGCCGCCGGCTCGGTGGCGCAGGTCAGTGAGGCCAAGCCCACCGCCATGCCGCCGGCGGCACGAAAGGCCTCTACCTGACTAGGGTCGGCTACCAACAGCCGCGCTAGCGCCGCACTGCATGCCTGGCCAGCCTTGAAGGCCATGTCGTCGTCGCAGCGCGCCGCCAGCGCGCCGAGCACTTTGGACAGCGCCGCCACTAGGTGCCGCACCGTGCGTGCGCCGGTAACGTGCTCACGGCAGACCGGCGAGGCTTCGACAAGGAGCCCAATGGTGGTGGCCAGCGCTGCCACGTCGTCCAACCGAGCTGGCAATGACTCAAGCTTGAGCAGGAGCACGTAGAGAAGAGTCGGATGCTCCGGCAGCGCATACGCCGGTGGTCCGCGGAGGAGCGCGTGGCTGAGTGCAATGAGCGGCCGTCGGAGGCTGTCGCCTACCATGGCAGCGTCGAGGACGGCGCGGCAGAGAGCGGCGGCGTCGCTGGCTGCTCCTGTACTGCTCTCGTCTCCATCGTCGCTGTCATCGAGAGAGGCCGGGATGGACACACTCACCAGCACCGGCGGTGCGAGCGGAAGCAGCTGCGGGACGCGAGCTTCAAGTCGGGCGTCAAAGGTAGGCAGCATCGGCTGAGAGGCGGCCTGCTCAAGGGCAGCAAGCCATGCTTCGGGATCTGAGGCGGTGAGAACAAGCTGCGGTGAGTGTGGGGCGCGGACAAGAAGGGTCTGGCGGTCGCACGCGGTAAAGGTGACTTCGGCGACTGAGCCGAGGACAACCAGCTCGGCCGAGTCCGGCGGGGTGTGGAAGACTACATCGGAGCAGATGAGGAGCGAGTGAGCGTGAGCGAGAGCAAACTCGCTCGAGTCGGGCGTCGATCGCGCAACCACATACCGCCTGGCCAGTGAAGAGACAAGGACTCGAGCCACGGACGCTCGCATGGTCGGCGGGGCATGGAGCTGAGCCAAGACCTGCAGAGGGAGCTCGGCGTCGTAGCCAAGGATCGTCGGCGCGACCTGGACCATGTCAGCGAGGCGGATCATCTTCTCGGCCGGCTCTGCCGCTTCGACGACGCCATCTTCAGCCGCGACCACGAGCGCCCTTGCCAGAGTGTGCGGGAAGAGGAGCGGGATGGCGAGGCGTCCCAGGGCGTGAGCTGGGATGGCCTCGAGCCGCAGTGCGCCGGGCTCGAGAGTGATCATCTCGCGGAGAATGTCAAAGAATCTCGAAGCGTAGGTGACGTGGCCTTGTTTGAGCGCAAATAGTGTGGTTTCACCTTTGTAAAATTGTATCAGCGGAATACCGGAGCCATCGCCAGCATTCGGCCGCGGAAACGATGCGTCGGCCGCCGCCAGCTTCTCCACCAAAGTCGCCAGGTTGCTGGCGGCAGGCACATGGCCATTGCCTTTCTCCACAGCAGCAGTCACTGCAGAGAGGTCCGCAAGCGTCGCCGAATAGTCGTTGCATATGTCTTCCAGAATGTGTGCATGGTGCTGGTGGGAGGTGGTCATACGGCCCAGCGGGGCGAGGGGTGGGGTGGGGGGGGAGAGAGAGGGAGAGTGGGGTGATCGATCACGTGGGCGATGGCCGAAGCGGGGGAGAGTAGCCATCCTCACAACAGGGGGGGGCAGGACAGTTTACGTATGCATCGATAGCCATGCTGGGCCACTACTCGTCGCTGCCTTGCTGCAACTCCTTCTCGTCAATGGCGGCATCGATGGAGGAGAGGATGTCGGCGAGGAGGGCGCGCTTGGCCTTGAGCTCCGAGGTGTGGAGAGCGAGGAGGTGGCTCTTCTCGATGCCAGCGGCAAGTCGGGTGATGGTGTCCCGCTCACGGAGGAGCTGCCGGGTCTCCTGCTCGATCTGCTCGCGTGAGACGTCCTCCAGGAGCTCGGCCTCGGCGGCGAGGAGAGCGGCCTTGACGGCGGCGAGGTTCTCGGCGTACTGCGGACGGAGCTTGAGTGCATTGGAGAGCGCGGTGTGTGAGAGGCAGACAATTTGAACGTCGGTTGTCGACCGGATGGTGCGCTCAAACGGTACGTTGTAGAGGAGCTGCTTCTCGCCGAGATGCCCACCCTCGTCGAGCGCGCCGACACGCTCGCCCATGGGCATGTACACTGACGTCGAGCCCGAGGCCACAAACAAGAGCTGGCCCTTGCCGACGCCGGCCTCGACAACGGTCTCGTTGAATCCGAGCTCGATGACCTCGGAGCCAGAGACGAGGATGTCGCGGAAGGCGTCGTCGGTGTCGTCGAACATGTGGTTGGAGGCGAGGAGCCGCCGCCAGAACACAAGCGCGATGGTCCGGATGGCCTCGGACGCCAGCTTGGTTGCGGCAGCGGTGAGGGCCTTGACGTCGTCAATGGCGTCGACGTCGGTTGTTTCCAGAAGCGCTGCCATCCGCTCGCGGAGGAGCTCCGACTCGAGGCGGTCGCTCACGGTCCGCGCACGCTCGACGACACGCTGCGCGACCGGGCGAACCGACTCGAGCGAGCTGTGGACGACCAGATCGCCCAGCTGTGCCCGGTCGCTCACCAGCTGCTCGCGCACCAAGTACAGCGGCTCCTCATGCAGGCGCATAGCAAGCGACGCTGCACGGCGGCGCTCGTGGTCTGCCTGCAGCCGTGCGCGCGCGACCTGGCGAAAATGGTCGAGCAGGTCCGGATGCTGAGCAATGGCGGCGAGGAGGTCGCTCTTCGAGAGCGTGTACACCGTGACGTAGGTGACGGCCCGGACCGTAGCCGTCCGCGGGGTATCGATGAGCACTGCAATCTCACCAAAGTGGTCGGCCTCGCGGAGCCGGGCGACCTCGTCGCCAGTTTGGAGGACAACCGCGGCTTCGCCGCGGGTAAGGAACCACATGCAGTCCCCGGTCTCGCCCTCGGTGGCAATAACCGCGTTGGGAGCGTACGTCTCCTCCTTCATCTTGTGGACAAGGTCGTGGAGGAGCGACGGGTCGTCGACGGCGGCAAAAAAGGGCACGTTAGACAGTGCCTCGGCGAGGTCCTGCGCAATCGCCACGTCGGTTCCGGCCCGAAGCGCGTACTCGACCGTGTCGTCGAGCCGCTCGAGCGTTTGGTTCACCCGCTGGAGTACACCCTCGTCGCGCGGCGCGTTGACGAGGTCGTCGGTGTGCGCGTAGCAGTCACGTGCAATGTGTTCCATCGACTCGCCGAGGTGGAGCAGCTTGGCGCGTTCGCGCTCGTCGTCCGAGACCTCGGCCAAGCCGTCGAGCAGGCCCTTGACCTTCTCGACGCATGTCCGCGCGAGCGCAGCCGCCGCGCGGAGCTTGATGACGTCGCCGTCGGCGGCGTTCATCTTCATGATGACAAACCGGACGTCCTTGAGCGCAATCTCCATGGCACGCCGCCGCGAGACCCGCTCTGCCGAGTGGTCAACAATGGTGCCGGCCTTGTCGGCGCTTGCGTCATCGTTGTCGGCGTCTGATCCCGAGCCGTAAGCCGGCGACGGCGACCGCGCTCCGGCGTACGGCGGAAGCAGTGTCCGCGACGACGGGAGCTTGATGAGTGCAACCTCGGCCTTGACCGAGGCCTCAATGTCTTCAGCAGAGAGGACCGATGAGCCGGCCGAGTCGCCACGATGGACAACGCGCGACGACTGCGGCGAGAGGTGGTTGTTGTCGTGGAACGCCACTCGCCGCTGCGCCGATCCAGTCAGCGGCGAGCACTCGTCGTCCGAGCGCGAGCCGTCCCATGACGACGCGTATGACCGGGCTTCAAACTCGTCCAGCTCCGACGGGTGGAGCAGAACATGGCGCGCAGCCGAAAGTGCTTCTGCCACCGCAGTGTCTGGCATTTCAGCATAATCGAGCAGCTCGAGTTCGGTCTGGACGCCAGCGTTGACTTGCGGGACCGCATCGCCGCCGGCCGCTGCTACCGCTGCCGCCAGCGGCACCGCAAGCGCAACGTCGACAACCGAGCTCGAGAGGTCTAGCGCGTCCTGCGGGGGGAGCAGGCCATCGGCCGCCGCCGACCCACGCCGAAGAGCTTGGACCTCGGCGTACAGCTCCTTGGCCTTGGCCTTGTACTTGGCGGTGCGCGGGTCCTTGATGGCAACCTGGACGCCGACGTCGCGAGTGGCAGCAGCAAGGGTGTCGGTGGCACTGGCTTGCGGAGAGCTCGTTGCGGCTGGCGCCGGCTGGTGCGGCGGTGACACCGCAAAGACACCCGGCACAAACTCGACCGGCCGACGGACGGTCTTGGCTCCCACAGCAGCAGCCGCGGGGACGGAGTCCGATGCTTCGGGGGCGGCGACCGGAGAGGTGCGACGGACTCGGACCCGCTTGCGGACTCGCGGGCGGAGGGTGGCCGGATTAGGTGGATCGTCGCGGATGCGAGCGCGGTTGATCTTGGGCGCAAAGGTACACTCGTCCGGGTCAAAGGTGTCGATGGCGAGAACGGCTGGTGGCTCCGAGGCTGCCCGAGCTTCCTCCAGCTTGGCCTTTCTTGCGGCGTTCCACTTGTAAGTCCGCTCGACGAGCGACACGCCTTCGACATCTTTCGGCCGCTTGTACGGCTTGATTCGCGGAGTAAAGGTGCACTGTGCCATGACTTCCTCGATGGCCTTCTCCTGCGCCCGCGCATGCTTCTCACGGTGCACATCCGCCAGCTCCACCAACCGCTGCCTTGCCGGCAGGCGGTCTCTCTCTGCCACTAGCTTTCTTGACCGCGGAGCGAGCTGAGGCGAGAACGAGTACACCTCTTCCTGAGCCGGCAGCCTTCGACGGGTGACGTGAGAGTCGTGACCCATAGTAGCAGGAGCGCCAGAGTAAAGAGAATCGGAGGGACGATTAGCGAGGACACTATCATGACCATCGTGACCATCATGCCCATCATGCCCATCATGCCCATCATGATCATCATGATCATGTGGCACGACGGCGTGGGTCTTGAGTCGGCTGCGATTGATTGCGGGCCAAAAAGTCAGGTCGTCATCAACAGCCATTGCCGGATATGTAAGATGATCAAGAGGCGAGACTGGTTGCAGATACCTTGGCTCATGGCTACGTGGATACTTTGAGGAGCTGTTGTTCCCTGCACCACCACCACCAGACCCAGCCCCACCACCACCACCACCACCACCAGGACCGCCACCACCAGCACGACCTCCTCCACCAGCACGACCTCCACTACCACCACTAACCACTGTCCTCCGAGGTGTGACACTCCCTGTCGAAGAACCTTCGTACTCTCGGAGGTACAAAGACATGTCGTCTGAAGACGGAGGGAGGTGGGGCTGTGTGGTTGGGAGGGGGGGGGGGAGGTGGGGGGTGGGGAGGAGGGGAAGGGGGAGGCCGGGGCGGCAGTTGGGCCTTGATCATGCTGCAGATCGCCATCAAATGTCCTGGCGGGGAAAGTGGAGGGCTGGATTGGGCTGGATTGGTGCGCGCGGGCGGGGGAGGGGAGAGAGAGAGAGAGAGAGAGAGAGAGAGAGAGAGAGAGAGAGAGAGAGAGAGAGAGAAAGGAAGAGGAGGGGATGGTTAGAGGGGGAGGGGGGGGAGAGAAAGAGGGAGATTGTCCTGGATGTGCGTTTTGATGCGATATCGCGCGAATTATCCTGCGCACGCCGAGGCATGGCTGCCTTGGTTCCGGAGTAGGGGGGGAGGGTTGTGATCGTGGTGGGAACAGAGATAGATGCTAGTGAGGGACAGAGGAGGGAGGAGATGAAGGGAGAAGGGGGGTGGGGCGGGGGGGAGCACTGTGGTTGAAGTTGAGGAGCATGACCAAAGCTGCCCCGGAATTCGCGATCATTACCCGGAGCGGTACGCTCGTTCGGACGCGTTGTCGCTTCAACACCAAGCCGACCCGAAAGGAGTTCAAGATGCATGCGCTGTGGGATCCTCGAAGCGGATGCACATGCACTTGCTTCATACTCTGCGTTCATTCACACATCCAAGAGGAGCTGACCAGACTTGCATCAGCCATCATTCTGATGGAAAACTGCTCCTGTCGGTCGCTTCAATCTAACACAGTGATCGGTGATCGTTCCATCCCAGTCCCCTCCCTCCCCCCCCCCCTCCCCCCTCCTCCCACCCCATACTCACCCACCCAACAATAGAGCTATCACCATCACCATCACCATCACCACCTTCACCCAAATCGTCGCCATCCCCCCCCCCCCCCACACCACACAGCCGCAATTTTTCCCCCACCCCCACCCCCACCCCCCCCCTCTCCAACCAAACCCGCCGGCGACAGACAGCAACAGCAACAACAGCGACAAGGGCGACCACCGCACCCTCCCCCACCCCGTCCTACTCGCCCACTATGCACACATACCACATCCTCACAACAATGCTATGCATACTATGTGCAATGGGCACCCTCTCTGCTGCTTCCCATGTCTTCCAGCCACCTACCAACCTTGCACACCACAAGTCCTCGGCACACCTTGCCCGTCTTGCCATGACAACCAAGTCGGCGAGTCAAGCTGCGACGAGCCAAGGCGACAACCATGATGCTGCTCATGGTGGTGGTGAAAAGGGTGCCACCGTTCGCGCCTTTTTCCATCTTGACATGGATGCCTTGCATCCTTTGCGCTCGTCGCCACGAGGCGAGGACCGGCGAGTGATCGATGATGACGGCCAAGGCGACGATGCTCGGTGGGAGAAGGCGCTGTATCGGATGGTGCTCAAGCTGCCGATCACAGAGAAACGAAAGGCGGCGGCGATCGACTGCTTTACCGCTGTTGACGGCATGGTCTACGTCGGGGCAGAGACGTTTGTGGTGCGGGCTGAGGCTGCACCGGCCCACGGCAGCTGCGGCGCTGTGAGCGAGCACGGCCCGTGGCGTACGAGCCATGATGGGGTGGCTCATGCTGCTATTGATGGTCAGGACGAGGTGGTGATCATGGTATTCCCGGCAGCCGACGACGAGCTGGAGGCGGCGGTGGCGACGCTCCAGGCCCGGTTGGGCGGCGCGGCCCGCGTGGCGCTGACCCCGCCAGGGCTGGGGTCGGCACCACGGGCACTGCTCCGTGAAGTGCGGATTGGGGCAGTGGCGGCTGTCGGCATGGACAAGGTGCTTGCCGGGCTCGCCGAGAGTCCAATGGGTGCACTGGCTGTCGACGTGCGCGCCGGCGTCCGGAATGCGGCGCGCGAGTTTCACAACGCGTTTGCGTCGTGGGCGGTCCAGTCGGCGCAGGCCGAGTTCCGGCCGCTGTCTACGGCTGGCATTGACGGCTCGTCGCAGATTGTGGGCGTGGCCGACACTGGCGTCGACACTAGCTCATGCTACTTTGCAGACGTGTCCGGCGAGCCCGTGCCGTACAACCCGGCGGCCAACGCGACGGGTGCCAGTGGCAGCTCGCGGCACCGCAAGATTGTCGGCTACTTTACACAAAATGGCGATGGCGGCGACTCGCTCGCCGGGCACGGGACGCACGTGGCGGCGACGATTTGCGGCGCGGCAGCCGGGCCCGAGTCGATGGCAGCGGCGGTGGCGGAAAGCGCAAAGTTCAACGGGATTGCAGCCGGGGCGCGGCTGGTGGTGGAGGACCTGCTCGCCGACGCCGACCAGGCACCGGCCGGGACGGTCGACGGCGGCCACCCGGACGACGTCGGCATTGATCCGAGCTACTGGCGGATCGAGAACTTGCTCGCACGGCAGTTCAGTCTCGGGGCGCGGCTCTCGTGCAACGCGTGGGGCCTGGCAGCGGATCGGTCGCAGGACATGGAGCCTGGGACGTACGGCGAGGCTGCGCGGGCTGTCGACAGGTTTGTGTGGGAGAATCCGGACATGCTCCCGCTGTTTTCGGTGGGCAACGTGGCGGCGGCACAGGTCTCGTCGCGGGCAGCGCACCAGATCTCGTCTGTGGCAACAGCCAAGAACGCGCTGTCGATCGGGGCCTCGTTTGCACCGCGCGAGTCGTGGGCGCTGGACCTCTCGCACGACGCAGTGATGCTGACGGTTGCGGGGCTAGAAGTGACGGCAGTGCCGGGTGAGTTTGGATCGCGGGTCCCGGTGCCCGAGGGCGTGGCCGGCAGCCTGCGGCTTGCAGAGCCTGTGGATGGGTGCGGGGTGTATGCCAACGCTGCGGCCTTTGCCGACGGCAGCAGCTACGCGCTGGTCCGGCGTGGCGGCTGCCGGTTTGTGACCAAGGCAGCGGCCGCGGCCGCGGCCGGCGCCATCGGCATGGTTGTGGTGAGTACGGACGAGCGGTACCTCATCATGTCCGGCGATGCTCCCAAACTGGCGCTCGTTGCGCTTCTCGTGCGAGCGTCGGACGGCAACGCCATGGTGGCGGCAGCCGACGCGAACGGCGGCGCCGTGGCGTTTGTGGCAAGCAGCGCGAGCGATACAAACGTGGCGCCGAGCGACATTGCGGTCTCGCTCGGGTACAAGGCTTGGAACTCTGCGGCGGGCCCATCTGTCGACGCGCGGTTCAAGCCGGAGCTCTACGCACCGGGATACAAGGTGTTTTCTGCGGCGGCGGGGCCGGGAGCGGCGGCGTGCGGCGCGGCGGCGCGGTTTGTCTCGGGCGGTACGTCGTCGGCCGTGGCTGTCGCGACCGGAACGGCGGCATTGGTGCGCGACTACTTTGTCAAGGGCTACTATCCAAGCGGGGCAGCGAGCGCGAGCGGGGCGTTCTCCCCTTCTGCCGCGCTCGTCAAGGCCGTGCTGGTCAACGGGGCGGTCCCGCTGACGATGACGTACTCGGGCGCCGGGCCGATGGTGGGCGACGTGACTGACGGTCGCGACTACGTGCCGCTCGCCGACAAGGTGCCGTCGTTCGAGCAGGGCTTTGGACGGCTGATGGCGTCGGAGAGCCTGCCACTGGCGGACGGGTCGACGTCGCCGGGCGCGTTCAAGGGGCTAAGCTGAGGCGAAAGCCGTTTGATCTGTATGTCAACGACTCTGCAGCGATGGGCGAGAGCGGCGAGGTGCACTCAATGTGCGTGCGAGTGGTTGCGGCGGCCAAACCGCTGCGAGTCACGCTTGCGTGGACCGATTTTCCGGTGGACATGGTCCAGCGACAGTCGCTCCTGCGCAACTTGGTCAACGACCTCGACCTCGTAGTCTCGTGCTTTTCGGGCCACGACAACACGCAGACGACGTACGCTGGCAACGGACGAATCGAAGCATCGTCGCAGGGCCTGTACTGGACTTTTGACACCATCAACAACGTGGAGACGGTCCGGGTGCCACACCCGGGCGTGGGCACGACGTGCAAGATCAGCGTTGTGGGCGGGTCTGTGGTGCTCGGGCCGCAGCGGTACGCGCTGGTGGTGAGCGGGTACTTTGAGACAGCGACGTGCGCCGGGACCAACACGTGCATCGACGGGTGCTACGGGCGCGGGCTGTGTAATGACGGGGTGTGCGAGTGCCAGTCGCCGTTCAAGGGCATTGACTGCTCGCTCACTCCGCAGCCGCTCTCGACGAGCGGGCGGGTGGTGACGACCGAGATCCAAGCCAACTCGTGGGCGTACTACTCATTCCGAGTGACCGACCTCAGCATCCCGCTGTACGTGGAAGTGAGGCGGATGTCGGGCGTCGGCGATCCAGACGTGTACATCAATCCAGAGGAGCTGCCGGACTTTACCCGGGCCGAGTGGTTTGACACGGTGACCGACAACGGGCCGACGCCGATCAACCACCACGTGATCCGAATCGACCCCAGCGAGCTCGACACCAACAAGGTGTACTTTGTGGGCATCCACGCCTTTTGCTGTGACGACACCAAGGTTGCCATTGCGGCGCACTCGTCGGCGACGCACTCGCTGATCCTCAGCTCGTCGGCGGCGAGCGCGGGGCCTGCGGTGGCTTGGCAGTTGGTACTTGGCGCACTCGTCGCGGCAGCGGTGGGCATTGCAGTGTAGCCGTCGCGTGTGCTACCACGGAATCTCTTCCAGCTCGGCAAAGAACTTGCCGTTGGGAATGTCTGGCGATGACGGAAGGGTGGCGAGATAGAGCGGAGTGATGGCGCCGACAGCGGGAGTCTTGGACGAGACTCGGCCGATGTCGGCAAAGCACGCGGTCATGTCGGTGTTGATAAAGCCCGGACAGACAGCGTTGGCGACAACGTCGCCGCCGGGAGCGAGGTTCGTCAGCTCGCGGGCGAGGCCGGTGGTGAACCGGTTGAGCGCAGCCTTGGAGACGCGGTAGCCGAGGATGGAAATGGGCGCCTTTTGGCGAGTCAGCTGGCCGGCGCGCGATGAGACGTTGACGATGCGCCCCACTTGCCAGCGATCATCAGCGGGAGCAGGGCGCGGGTGACGGCCATGGCGCCGACGGTGTTGACGGCGATCGAGCGACGGACAGCGTCAAGGTCGAGGTCGACGACCGAGTCAGTGAGGATCTCCGTCATGACGCCGGCGTTGTTGACCAGCACATCGCAGCGGCCAAACGAGTCGGCCACAAAGCTCGCCAGCGCGGCAACATGAGTATCGTCCGTCACATCGCAGGCAAAGCCAAAGACACGCCCGTCCGCATCGCACTCTGCAGCGATCTCCTCGGCAGCTCTGGCCGCACTCTCGGCCGTCGAGGCAGTGACGACGACGTTCCATCGCGGGCTAAACGCCACAAGTCCCTTGGCAATGGCTCGGCCGATGCCGCGAGAGCCGCCCGAGACGACACAGAGCCTCGGCTCTTCGGCAACAGCAGCTCTTCGACGACGGTCCGCCGCCGCAGCTGCGCGGGTTGCGAGCATGACTCCGCCGACCATGGCTAGCGCAGCAGTGGCAATGCTTGCTGTCTTGGCCAGGTTTCCGAGCATGGTGGCTTGGCGGGTTGTGGGGTGCGGTGCGGGTGCTTGCATCTCTCTTTTTGTTATGTCGAATGGCGGTAGTTCTCCGGCTGCCTCTGTTCCAGCCGAGTTTAGGGAGGGGCTAAGGATTGAGGGTGGATGTGGCAAGTGACATGGAGCGGGATCGCGGGCGGGTGAGCGTAGAGACACCGAGGATGGCGGCGGCTGCCGAGGGCGAGGCCGTCGGCGAGAGATGGTCGCCAAGGGACGGGGAGTGGGTGACTGATGAGTCAAAGGAGGCATTGAGGCTGTTCCCGTCGACGCTGTCTGAGTTGAGGCTCTTGGCATAGGGATTGTCAGTTGGGACGCGGCGGACATAGTTGGTGCCGACGCGGCGGCGAACGCGGCGTGACCGCGTTGCCGGCGAGGCCAGTGATGAGGCCGACTGCTGCGCGGTGGTGCGGAGCTCGGGTGACGATGGCGAGATGAGGCCGCGGTGATGGAGCTCGGCAAGCGAAGGCGGGATGGCGCGGCTCGGTTCCTTGGACGATACAAGGTCAAAATTGGCGTCTGGGGAGAAGTCGTGACTGCGCTTGGAGCGGCGTGGCGAGGGCGAGCCACGCGACATGGACGAGTTGGAGACAACGGTGCGGACAGCCGACGGCGAGCGCGAGGCAACACCCGACGGGACCGTTGCCGCCGCCGACATCGACGCTGATCGCAGATGCACAGACTCGTGAGCTAGCGGTTGCGAGGCGGCCGCGTTGGAATGGTTGCGCTTGCGCGCACGGGTCCGCGCTCGGGTCCGCACCCGGGTCCGCGACGCGGTCGAGACCCGGACGACACTCGCGAGCTCGCAGGTGGTCGCTTCGGAGCGCAATGTCCTGGCGCTGACGGGAATACCGGTTGCGAGTGGCGGCGGAGTCTCGGCAGCAAGCGGACGGGAAATGGATGCGATTTTGTTGATGCGGTCCAAGCCCATGTCATACGCGCGGTTTGCAAGCGTCGTTGGCATGATCTCCCACACCTCGCACGATGCCGACATGCCATCAAAGGCGACGTTGGCGAGCGGGGTGACGGTGACTTCGGCCGGCGCAAATGCAGCGTTGTCGTGCGCGTCGTCGAGATCGAGACGCGATCGGGCGGCAGCGAGCTGGTCGATGACCTCGCGCGAGGTCACAATCTGGCCGCCGGTCCCAGTGTCGGAGACCAGCGTCGCGAGATTGACCATGCTGCCAAAGTACTGGGTCCGCCCGGCGCGGACGTCAAATGCCGACGAGACTTGGCCATAGTGGATGCCCATGCGAACCCGGACACCGTTCCACACCGCCGGATCCCCGCTGGGAAGAACGCTGACAAGCCAGTTGGGCCAGGCAACGGCCATCAGGTCGAGCTGGGCGCGGACGCAGCAGGCGACTGCGGCCTCGACGTCTGCGTGGGCGACAAAGAAGGCGTCACCCTCGGTCTTGAACTCGTAGCCGCCGGTGGCGGTGATGGCGGTGCGCATGATCTCGTTGTGCTTGTCGAGGACGACAATCATCTGGTCCGGGTTGATCTCCCACAGCATGGTTGAGTTCTCGATGTCTGTGGAGATGATGAAGATCTCGCCCTGGGGAGCCTTGTCGGCGAGCGTGGCGTGGTAGGCCAAGACGGAGGCGGAGCGGCGGCGGCGGTAGGCAATGACAAGCGCAGCAATGAGAAGAATACAGATGACGACGACCGAGCCGCCCATGGCACTGACGACCAACGGCGAGACAGTCGATGAGCGCGTAGCGGCCCTGATGCCGTTGCATCCAGCAGCTGGCAGCGTGCAGACGCCGCAGGCATCGACGATCAGGCCCGAGTTGGGGATGCCATCGCAGCCGGCACACACGGTGTTGTTGCCGTAGCAAGTGCCACAGTCGTCCTTGGCGAGATTGGAGCCAAAGCAAGCGCCGCAGTCGTCCATGGCCGCGTTGTGACCACGGCACACGCCGCAGTCGTCGCGATCGGCGTCGCCGCCAAAGCAGACGCCACAAGAGTCGCGATCGACGTTACCGCGGAAGCAGATGCCGCAGTCGTCGCGGAAAAAGTTGGCCGTGGGAATGAGCGACGTCCCGCCGGTGCACGAGTTGCACTCGTCGATGGCGGCGGTGCCGCTGCAAGTTCCGGTGCAGTCGTAGGTGGCGGACGAGCCGAGGACGCCGTCGCAGCCCATGATGCACGACGAGCCGTCGCCGCCACAGACACCGCAGAGATCAAAGAGCGCGCCGCCGTCAGAGACACGGATCCCGTCGCAGCCGACGCACGTCGAGTTGTCGCCATCGCACACGCCGCAGGCATCGAGGACTCCGGACGCACAGGTGGTGCAGGTCAGATCCTGGCCAAAGCACACGCCACACGAGTCGAGGTGGTAGTTGTACGGGAGCGGAGTCGAGACGTTGCCGCCGGCACACATGCCGCAACTGTCGATGGTGGCGTTGCCGCCGCACACGCCGTGGCAGTCGTAGTGGATGCTCGAGCCGTAGACGCCGTCGCAGCCGACGTAGCATACAGTGGCGTTGCCGCCACAAACGCCACACGCGTCGAAATGTGCGCCGCCTGAGGGAATCGGCACCCCGTCGCAGCCGAGGCAGGACGAGCCGTCGCCATCGCACACGCCGCATACGTCGCGGACGAGGCCCGAGTTGGGCACCCCGTCGCAGCCGGCGCAGGTCGTGTTCGAGCCAAAGCAGACACCGCATTCGTCCTTGTGGGCGTTGGCGCCAAAGCAGACACCGCAGTCGTCGCGATCGGCGTTGCCGCCAAAGCACACGCCGCAGTCGTCGCGATCAGCGTTGGGCAGGCGGTTGGTGGTGCCACCGGAGCAGACGTTGCATGCGTCGAGGATGGCGTTGCCATCGCAGGTGCCGGCGCAGTCCATGCCGTTGGGGTGCGCACAGGTGGTGCAGGGCGCGCCTGGGGTGAGGCAGGCGTAGCCGGGCTCGAGCTGGCAGGAAGATGAGCAGCCATCGCCTGGAGCTGTGTTGCCATCGTCGCAGGATTCGAGGCCGGGCGTGACGACCGAGTCGCCGCAGGAGGAGGGCGGTGGAGGCGGCGGCGGGGATGGGGATGGGGGTGGTGATGGGGGTGGCGGCGGCGGTGAGGGCGGTGGTGGTGATGAGGGCGGTGGCGGTGGCGGTGGGGATGGGGGTGGAGGCGGGGGCGGCGATGGAGGTGGCGGTGGCGACGGGGGTGGTGGTGGCGGTGGTGATGGGGGCGGAGAAGGTGGCGGTGATGTCATGCTCTCGCAAATCGACGGAGCAGTCCCGGAGCATGTCCAGCCGGCCTCGACGTTGCATGTGACGGAGCAGCCATCGCCAGCGAGAGTTCCACCATCATCACACGCTTCGCCACCCTCCACATACCCGTCGCCACAGGTGACGGGGGCAGGAGAGGTGGTGTAGACAAGTGGTGGGAACTTGCGCGGCTGGGAGCAGATGCCAGCTCCCGGGAGGCCACCACAGCCAATACCGGCTTCGTTGAGAGTATGCTCGATGTCAAGGCGAAAGAGGCCAATCAAGCCGGTCTCGCATCCGGTGAGTGTAGCGAGGCGATTGGTGTCAATCTCCGCTGCCGTCCGTGAGTAGTTCCACACGCGTAGATCCCACATTGCGTCAGTGACCTCCCAGCGCATGCGGTAGTAGCCGATGTGGAGGCCGAGGCTACTTGACGAAAGCGTATATGGTGAGCCGCTCTGCTTGAGCACCATGGTCGTCTGTGGCACGCCATCGACCAAGATGGACCAGGTGCCCAAGCCTGAGTCATAGATGCCGGCCAGGTGGACATCGACACCGGGAGAGACCGAGCCGGCCGGGGCTTGCGCCTCATAGTTGCCGACACCACCGGTGGCCTGGAACGCGATGGTCCGATGAGCCTCGTTCGCAGTGCCGGGCTGGTCAAAGATGTCGTCGCCGAGAAAGCGGATGATGAACTCGGTGGTGGTAGAGCGGAACGAGAAGACGTCGACGCGCTCGGCCATGGCTGTGGCGTCGAGGCGAAGATTGAACTCTAAGGTGGCATCGCCGGCGATCTCCAGCGAGGGCCAGCTGCCGGACGGTGGCTCGGTGTACGAGCAGTCGGGCGCGGTCAGCGGCGACGGCGGACCAGGGCTCGATGCCGAAAACGTCTTGCGCGCCCAGTCGATCGAGTACCCGGTCTGTACGACGGAGGTGTCTGACTGAAAGACGACGACAACCTGCGAGGCCTCAAAGTACATGGTCTGACCCAGCGCCTCGGTCCCGGTTACGCGAATCTTGAGAAACTCGGTACTCGGGCTGGTCGTCCCCTCGTAGATGTACATGTAATCGTAGCCGTTCTCAAGGTCAAAGGTGTTGAAGACGAGCTCGATGCCGCCATGGACAAAGTCAAAGGTGTAGCTGCAGTCTGCGTTGCTGATGTAGTTGGCGCCAGGTGTGGCCAGAGTTCCACTTGTAACACCTGCAGCCGAGGTGTGCATCTCATTGGTGCATGCTGTTGCCGTTGGGATGAGAAGAGCAAGGAGAGCGAGCGCAGCGATGGCGCTGCTCGCCACCCACATGGAGCGCTGGCCAACTGTGTGCAAATTGGCGCTGCGGGGGCAAGGCCAGGCGATGAGGGGTTCGCTCTGTGTGAGTGCGTGTGTGTGTGGAAAGAGAGAGAGAGCGAGTGAGAGTATGTGTGTGTGTGTGTGTGTTTGGCGTGGCAGGTGTGGGGACAGGTGATGTGCTAGCAGTGGTGGTGGTAGCGGTGGTGGTGGTGGAGCTGTATTGCCCGTGAGGCCGCGCGTGCCGAGGGCGGCATTGACACGTATGGCATGGTGTGGCAATTTTTTTTGAATGTGCCGCAGGATGTGCCATGATACGCTTCGCGACAGCAGTCGAGGTTGAGTTGTGGTGGTTGGCGGCGTTGGTACTTGACTCGCTGGCACAGCATGGCAGCGGTGGGCAAGGACAAGAGCAAGGCCAAGGCCAAGAGCAAGGACAAGAGCAAGGCCAAGGCCAAGAGCAAGGACAAGAGCAAGGCCAAGACTAAGGCCAAGTCCAAGTCCAAGTCCAAGAGCACGGACCATGAGGCTGTGGCTGGACCGGCTGGGGATGGGCAGGATGCAAGCGAGGATGGCGGGGCGGGAAACGATGAGTCCGTCGAGAGGGCCAGCCAGGGGTCGAGCAAGGCCAAAGGAGGGAGAGGTGGCAAGAGCTCAAGGTACATCCTGTTTGTGGGCAATCTCGGGTACTCGACCAAGCCGGAGCATGTGATTATGCACTTTGGCGAGTATGTCGACACCGACTCGATCGTCACCTTCCGGCTCAACACCGATCGGCACACCGGCAAGTCCAAGGGCTGCGGCTTTATCGAGTTCTCCTCACCGTCTGCCCTCCATGCGGCTGTTGTTCACGTCCACCACTCCAAGCTCCACGGCCGGGTCATCAACGTCGAGCTCACTGCCGGCGGCGGCGGCAAGGCGGCCAAGCGCCAGGAGAAGATCCTGGTCAAGAACATCAAGTTCCGCAAGGAGGTTCGCGCCGCTGCCAAGCGCAAGCATAATGCCGATAACTCTGCCGAGCACAGCGGCCGCGGAAGCTTTGCTCCCCCGGCTAAGCGTCAACGCACGCTTGCCGCGGATGGCGGCACTGGGGCCGGTGGCGATGGTGCTGACGTGGTCAAGGGCAAGGGCAAGGGCAAGGACAAGAGCAAGGGCAAGGACAAGGACAAGAGCAAGAGCAAGAGCAAGAGCAAGAGCAAAGGCAAGGACAAGAGCACGGACTCGGCGCCGCCCGGATCGGGTGATGCCACTGCGTGGTGGAACCAATGAACACAGAGCAGGCTTTGCAATCGCCAACGACCGTAGTGTCACCAGTGTAGCATGCCTGCTGGCACAGGCGTGGACCTTTCTCCCTGGTTCACAGCGGATGTATTAGGGTGAGAACGTGTGGCTGCGTTTGGTGTAGCCAGTCCCGGCAAACGCCACATGACTTGATGACCTCTCACTCACCCGCAAACTTTGGCCGACTTTCCCCGCAACCCCCGCATGGCCACGTCGGCTGCGGCTCATCCCCAGTAAGCGCACCAAGGACATGCCACACACCACGCTTCATGCCCACATGCGTGAACAGTGTCAAGGAGCACTCAGCGGACATGGCATGGCCCCAATACTGTTGGCCCGGGCTAGGAACAAATTCGGCCACGCGTGGGCGGTCACGCACATCCGCCGGGTCGGAGCGAGCGCGTGCGATAATTGGGGAATGCGCGTGCCCGAATCCAGCTGCGCGTGCGGAATGCGGACTACTTTGCCACTCGTCTCAGTGCCACCCACGGTCGCCGCTCCTGTATGTATTCCCCCGTCCCTCCCCCCCCTCCCCCTCTCCCCCTCCCCCACCACACCTTTACACCAACAGATACATATCACCCCCTTTCCCCTCCGCCACCTTTGCTCAACCGTTCCACATGTACCATGCTAGCGGCTGGCCGTGGTCCTCCTTGGAGTGTCGTCGTCTTGACTATCGTCGGCTGCCACTGAGCACGAGCCTTTGCCAACTCTCAGCCTCATTGGCCACGCTGCATGGCCATCACCGCCACCCCTCGGCACCCAGGAACACACCCACCACCACCCATCGTTCTGCATCCTTCTCTTGCACCCGGCAGCTACCTTTACGGTTCACCCTCGTTCCAGCAGCCCCCCCTCCCCCCCCCCCCTTCCCCCCTCCCCCCCGCATTTCGTCATTCGCGGCACGCGCAACTCGAACAGCGGCGCCTCACGTGCTGACCCGATATTGTGCCGGTGTTTTGGTTGAACTGGCCATCGTGGCATTTACTTGTTGAATGATGCCAATATCTGGCCAATTCACGGCCGTCAAAACTTTTTCCCTGCCTCTCTTGTTTGTCCTTGAATGGGCGATGAAATAGGGGAAAAAGTTGCGTTGCAAACTCACACCACGCGCTCACCACAACGTTGCAACAGTGCTACACTTCACAACTCCTCCCCTCCCTCCCCCCCCCCCCCTTCCTCTCAGAGCCCAGGACCACACCCTACACTTGCTGGTTGTGGCCTGCTTTGCAGATATGCCGCTCTCACCGCGGTCGTCGCGGACGCGGTCTGCCGAGCCACGGTCCATGAGCTCACCTCACAGCCTCGAACAGGCGCTCCGTATCAACGACCTTATTGCTTCCCAGGCGCTCGCCGCCGACTCGCTGGACGTGGCACTGAAGCACGCGCGCGAGTCGACCTGGGCACTCGAGTCGGCGGTCGGAGTCGGGGCCAAGCGTCGCCGGCGGCCGCTCGACACCGTCTCGGAGTCGACTGAGCGCTCGCTCTCGTCCGAGTCGTCGCTGAGGTCGCGCACGCGGACATACTCCCGGTCACGTGATGCCTCACACTCGTCGTCATCGCGGAGCCTTGTCCAGCTTGGGCCTCTTGACTCACAAAAGGGCCTCTCCCTGGGATCGCCCGGCCTCCCGCTACTCGAGCTCTCGCCCGGCCTCCCACTACTCGAGCTCTCGCCCGACCTCCTCCGCCCGCCGGTGGTCTCGCCAACCCAGACGCGGCCATGCAAGCGGCAGCGGAGGTCGTCGCTCGGCGCGGGAGCGCTGAACACACCGCCAATCATTTCGGGCGGTGGTCCGCCGCTCACGCTCTCGTCGTCGGCTCGGTCGTCTGCAGAGAATATTGCGCTCTCGCCGCGTACGCTGGCAGCGCACATGGAGAGCCGGCGTCCGCAGTCGCTCTCGGGTTCGCCGCCCTCGGCCGGCTTGCACTCGGCGCCGGTCCTCTCGGGCCGCTCGCGCAGGCGCAACCTCTCGCCACGCTCGCTGCGGGCGTCCACCATGGGCGGTGCCACTGAAGGCCCGTCGATGGAGGCGCCCATGCTCGGCCCCATTTTTGAGGACGCTCGCCCCGTCATCTGCACAATGGACATGTTCCCGCCGCGCCGTACTGGGCGCCGCGCTACCACTGCCGCCGCCGGCAACGTTGGGGTCGACGTCGGGGTTGACGTTGACGACGACCTCTCCCGTGCCATGTCCTCGCTCTGGGGCTCGTCACGCCGCTCGCCGCCATGTTCTAAGTCCTCCGGCAAGCGCTCAAACCCCTCGTCCTCGGATCCTCAGCACGCGACCCTCTCACGCACCCACTCGGCGTCGCTCGGTTCGGCGCCGCGTGGCTTTGCTTCGCTCTCTGAAGTCTCCGACTCGGACTCCTATGACGACGATGACATCGACTTTATTGCTGATGTGCTTGCGTCCGACTCGTCCGACTCGTAGCTAGCTGCCTCTTCTTCTGGCCACCTACATCAAACAGTCCTGAACACAGTATGCCATGACCGACTCACCGCGCCACGACAGCCACCTCATACCCGCACTCCGCCAACGCCGAACCCCATGCTCCCTGGTACCACACGAGAAAACCTATCGTCGCCGCCTCCACGGCAGCGTATACCACCTGCTGCGTTGCAAAGAGCTCCAGGCGGAGGCGGCGTGTGTGCAGGGCCCACATCAGCGTCGTGAGCGAAGCCACGCCTGTGAGCCCCGCCGTCGGGAGCCATCGCTGGAGTGTGAGACCTGCTGGCGGCGCCAATGCCTGCCGTGCGAGCAGCAGCGTGCTTGCCGAGAGGCCACATATTGTGAGCCCGGTGAGCGCAACATGTGCCGCCTCACCTGTTACTTCTGACACCAGGCCCGAGCCAATCATCGCTAGTCCACTGAGCCAGCCCGTGGCTCGAATCGCGCCATTGTTGAGCGCAGCGGCGAGGATCTCGCCAGTTGTCGCGGTAACTAAGCCGCTGATGGCGGCGCCGACCGGATACCAGCCCGCACCGTACGGCATGACTGCAGCATCGGAGACCAGTGGCAGCCGCGCTACACAGCCAGCGCCCGAGCCCAGGCATGCCACTGCTGTCGTGCCGACGGTACCGACCGCCACAGCAGCCATCATCACGACCCGAAGCGTGCCGATGCCGACGGCGGCAACAAGCTGTCCACTCGGCGAAAGTGGCGTTGCTGGAGCGCGGGCTTGTTGGTTATTGCCTCGTGCGGCAGCCTGTGCCACAATCTGGCACAGCGCGCTCCACCGGCACACACATGCCACAGAGCATGGAAGATGCGAAACTCCGGATCGTCCCTGGTAAGGCCAAGGACAAACCAAAAGAGAGCAAGTACGGTGAGCAGAGCCGTGACAGCACGGGTAGGTGAGCGCCAGGCAATGTCTCTCGGCGCTGCTGCACCGCCATTTGGGGCAAGGGCGGCAAGTAGCGCACCAGCAATCGGGAGCACGAGCGCGCGCGGCTCCCATGGAGCATACACCTGAATGGCAAGCGCAACTAGGCCGAGTCCGAGCCGAAGCAGCGGCGGCGGGCCGCGGATAGCCCAAGCTCCAGTCCGCAGAAACAGCGCCTGGACCATCAGCACCGCAGCGAGATTGTCGAGCCGGTGCCAAGATCCAGCCGGGATGCCGGCGACTGATGGTGCCAGAGTCACGTCGGACCAGTGGTAGCCGGAAGAAGCAACAACAACCGCCACGCCGATGAGAGCCTCGGTCTTCCAGCCACGGGCCAGAGCAGCGGCCACTGCTGGTACAAACGCGGCGTTGGTGGCAAAGGTAAGCATCCAGTTAGCGAGCGCTAGTCTTCTTCCTCCGGCGACCACGGCAGCTGCACTCGTGGCGCCGACGCCGAGTGCTGTCGCTCGCATCTCCGCGTCGACCCAATCGGTATCGTGGGCTGCGTGAGCTGCAAACCAAATGCGCGCCGGTAGCACGCCGCGGCGGGCCTGCCAGGTGTCGGGCTCGCGAGAGTCGCGGGCGAGTACGAGTGCGCGAGCCTGAGCAGACGCCAGCGCCTCTGTGAAGCACTCGACAGCGAGCAGCTCGTCTGGCGCAATCGCAACCGCAGCCCAGGCATATTCATCGCGCGGGAGTGTCATCGTCTCGGGATAGAGTGGTTGCGGTCGGAGGAGGGCAAGGCGGCTGCAGCGAATGCCGACACTGAGCACGATGCGACCGTTGTCGTCGATGCCGACGCGGGTGATTGCGTCGCCTGCGGCCTCGGCAAATACTGTGTGGATGTGGTGGGGAGGCAGCGTGCGGTCGTCATCTAGCGAGTAAATAGCAACGCCCGGTCGATGACGAAGTACCGCCGCGCCGGCAAAGCTGCTGGTTCGAAGGCGGCTCCGCATGGAAACGGCGACGAGGGTAGCACGTCGGTCGAGAGCGACAGCGTCGCCATAACTCACCAGGTCGGCAATATCATCAGCTGGGGGCGAGAGAGTCCACAACGGCATTGCTTCGGTGGCGGCCTCGCATACGCTCCACGCCACCGCCGAGCCGATGTCGGAGGTAGACCCCGAGTGGATGACGGCGACGAGGAGACCGTCAGCCAGGGCCATGCTGCGCCCGACCTCGCGCCGATTGCCGCCTACATGAGATAATGGGAGCGAGATGACGGGGCCAGGCGTGATGATGATAGGCGACCGTGGATGAAGCTGAGATCTGCGACGAGCGATCGTAAAGACCGCCAGGCGGAGGCGGACGTGATCAGCGATGACAAGGAAGTTGTCGGCAGCGGCAAGGGAGATGTACGGATCGTAGGCAAGCGAACGCTCGCGGTAGGCATCCGCCAGAAGCAGTGCAATGTCGACGGTTTGAATGAGGGCGTAACCGTCACATTGTGGCGCAAAGGCGAGTTGAGTCGCCGAGTCGCGGTAGACAAGGGTGAGGCAGGGCGTGTCGAGTCGTGGGTGAGCGAGAGTGAGAGTATGGAGGCCGGAGAAGAAAGAAAAGGTGGATGGCGGGAGGATGGCAAGAGTGGTGGGGGAAGGAGAAGCAAGCGGCAGTGATAGTGTGGCGAGGAGGAGGAGAGCGAGGGATAGTGTGGGCGGGGCATGTGTGTGGCGAGTGACGTGGTCGGCGCCAACCGAGAGGCGGTCCTCCTGGGGTGAGATGTCGCCTACTTGGCGTGGGAAGCACAACGGAGGAGGGAAGAGGACAGCTTGGTGTTCACTGGGAATAGTCCATGGTAGACTCACCACGGGAGAGCGAGAGGTTTGTCTTGCGGAGGCGAGAGATTTCCTTCTTGAGGCGGATGTTGTCCATCTTGAGCTGCTGCTCGCGCTCCTTAATGGCGCACTCGCGCTCGTCGCCGAGGTCGCGCAGACCATCGAGCTCTGCCTGGAGCTCTGCGCGTTGGCGTTTGAACGACTTTGCCTCCTGGGCAAAGGTCTTGGAGAGGATGTCGTTCTTGCGCTCCCAGCACTCGATGACGTCGTCCTTCTCGTCGAGGAGGTTGTCCTTCTCGGCGAGCTTGACCTTCATGATGTGTACGTCGCGGGCAAGGGCGTCGTACAGCTCTGCGGCAATGAGCTCCTGGCCGTCCTCGTCGACAAAGACGCCGCCGCCGGGGCGGCGTGGTGTCGCCATCATACCAGCGTGGCGCGGCGAGATGTGGGCGGTATCTGAGAGCGAGCGAGAGAGTGTGTCGAGGCGGCCGGAGAGTTGGTTGATGCGCTGGTGCTGCGACTGGATGATCTTCTCCTTACCGGCAACAGTCTCCATGACGCGCTCGAGCTCGGCCTTGAGGCCGCGGCGCTCCTCGTACCACTCGCGGAACTTGACGCCGCCCTGCGACGATGCCATCTCCTCTGCGACGGCGTCGAGTTCGTCGTCGCGCTTGCGGAGCATGTTGTCCATGCGCTCGAGGTCCTCCTGCAGAGTGTGGATGGCACGCTCCTTGTTGCGGATGCCAGTTTCGAGCTGGCGGACATATTCTTCCGACTGGGCACGAGCCTCGAGCTCGAGCTGCAGCTTCTCGATGGCGGTGGTCTTGACACGGCAAAGGTTGTTGAGGAGCTTGTTCTCCTCGTTGAGCTCGTCAATCTTGTGCGAGAGCTCGCGGACCTTGCCGTCGAGCTGGGCCACGTCCTCGTACGACTGAGCCTGGGCACGGAGGTCGTCCTGAAGCTTGTCGATGAACGCGTCCTTCCGCTTGAGCTGCAGGTCCATGGTCTTGCGGTCCTTCCACAGCTCTTTGATCTCAGCATCCTTGGCCTTGATCTCGTTCTCCAGCCGGTCCAGCAGTTGGAAGTACGACTGATCCGGAACGTCCTTGAACGCCGCCGCCGCCGAGCCCGCTGCGCTGCCTGCGCTCCCGCGCGCCTCCTTCATCTTGGTGTTCATCTCCTCGAGCATCCGCACATCCTTGGACAGCTCCTCGTTGCGCTCGTGCGCGCGAAGGAGCTCGGTGTTCGCTTGCTCCAGCGCCGAGCTCTTGGTCACCAGCAGCTGCGACAGCGTCTCATTCTTGTCGTGCAGCTGGTCGACCTGCTCCAGCGTCTCACGCAGCTGGCCCTGCAGCCGGACCATGGCCTCGGACGGGTCCGCCACGGCCGAGTCGAGCGCCGCCAGCCGCTTCCGCCGCCGAGCAGGGACGGCGTTCTCCAGCTGGTGGACCTCATGGTAGAGCGCTTCTAGCTGGGCACACTTTTGCAGATACAGCTCGGTCTGCGCATCCTCGTCTTGCACCTCGGCAGCCATGACAGACGCCACTGCCTCCCGCCGCGCCATCCGTCATCAGTGTGAGTCTCTCCCCGGCGACAGCGTCGCTCGCACCTCCAAAGATGGCGGCTCGGCTCCTCCGCGCGGCACCGCTGGCCACCAAAAATGTAGGCCACCAGACGCAACGCGTACACAGCCGTGGGTGCGCAGAAGGCGGCCACAGGCAGTAGAGACAGGGCTTAGGGCATGGCGCTGAGGGAGGGTGTGGGTATGAAGCATGTGTGTAAGGGAGTGGCAATGGGCAAGCCTGCTGTACGTACTCGTGTCCAAGGAGTGGTGGAGTGTGTGCGACGGGCGTTGGCCAACGGGGCTGGTGACGGTTGCTGGGCATTTGGGGCTGGCTAGTCTGCCGGCCCGAGGGGTGGTCGCTCGGCAACGGGCGGGTGGCCTGGCAACTGATGGTGGTGAGGGAGGTGTAGCGGTGGAGCGCCACTGCTCTAGGCGCCATTAGACCGGTTACACGGCTATGATGGGCTTTCGGTTGACGGTGGTGGTGGCAGTGGTGGCACTGGCACTGGCTGGCTGCTTGGCGGAGGAGTCGCTGCTGGACACAGCGACGTCGCCCGAGGCAGCCGATGAGCTGCAGGAGTGGCTGGTGGCGGACGGCGGGCTACCGCTGAAGCTGCGGACGAGGTTGCAACCGATAGAGGGCATGGGCATTGGTGTGGTTGCGAGCGAGGCGATCGGCAAGGGCGAAGCGTACTTTGCGCTTCCACACAGGCTCGCCATCTCGCGGGCTGTCATCGACCGGTCGCCGGTAGGGACGATCGTGGCGAGGCTAGGGCAGCGACTGGAGGCGGCCAGTAGCGCGAGGGACTTGCCGCGCGGATTCACAGGCTCGGGCAGCGCTGGTTCGATCGGCAACGACGTCGCGTTTGTGGTCTGGCTGGCGGCAGCAAGGTTTGGTCCGGTCTCGCTCGGCTTTGACGAGGGCGCGGCGGTTTACGTCGAGGCACTGCCAGAAGTGTTTGGCACGCCGCTATACTTTGACGCTGGCGAACTGGCGGCGTTGGAGGGGTGCGTGCTGGCGGGACAGGCTGCCGATGATGCGGTACGGGTGCGCGAAATGGCGAGCTGGCTACGCAGTGCGGTGATCGAGCTCGCGCTCCCGCTCCCAGTCACAGTTTTTGCCAACGATGCGGTCAAGTGGGCTTGGTCAGTCGTGGCGTCGCGGCGAATCAACGTCGGCAACGCACCCAGCAAGGCCGGTGGTAGCGCGCACCTGCTCCCATACATCGACATGATCAACGCCAAGGAGTCATCGGACCGGACGTTCACCTCGTACTCGGCCAAACTTGACGCGGTGGTCATGTACGCCGACGAGGATTACGCTGCCGGCGACCAAGTGTTTGAGACTTACGGCAACAAGACCAACTCGGGCTATCTCCGGTACAACGGCTTCATGTATGTCGGCAACCCGAACGACTGCGGAATGCTCGACGTTGACGTGCGGCGGTATGGCGAGAGGCTGATGGCGAGCGAGATGGATCCGTTCCGGCAGGCGCTTGGGTTCGGCTCACGGAGCGCCACGGTGTGGTCCAAATGCGTGAGGTCAAAGCTGGCCGGCAACGACGGCATTGTCGGGCTCAGCATGCTGCTCAGTGTTCTCTCGGAAGAACTTGCGGCGGCGGTTGCGAGCCGGCTCTCGCCGTCGAGCCGGCTCGCGAGCCAGCTGACAACTGCCGAGCAGGCTGCAGGGTACCGGATGCTTGCGCAGGTGCTTGCTGACAAGCTGGCGCGGTATCCGACGCGGGCCAAGGATGACAAAGCAGCGCTCAAAGCTAGCGGGCTGGGCGAGAACATGCGCGCTGCGATCGAGTTCCGACTGGCGGAGAAGCGGACGTTTTTGAAGCTGCGGCGTGCGGCGAAGGCACAGGCACAGAGGCTCGAGGCTGCGATGCGTGATGAACTGTAGCGTGTGGTAGAGTGATTGCTCTAGTGTTGACTTGTGTGGCGTGAGATGGACCGAGCGGCCGTGGCTGGAGAGCCAAGTGAGCTCGCCGACATCCACCAGCCCGTCGAGGCACCGATACTCAGAGACCGACCCTCAGCGCCGAGTGCGTCACGCTCGACCATTACCCGCGACCGCCGGGTCTCGAGCCACCTTGTCCAGCCCGCGATGCTCCGTAGCCCCAACGTGAGTCGGACATGCCGCGCTCGTGCGGCAATTGTTGCCCGACCAGGCGGTGGCACGCGTGCTGACAGGACTAGGAGGAGGGAGAAAGAAAAAAAAAACGCGCCATTGTTCGCGCACTTTCGCGTAGAATCTTTCGTCTGCATCAGTTTTTCGCATCGAATCATTGGAGTCCCTAACAGCAAAGTGTGCAAGGAGGGGGAGGAGGAGGAGGACGGCGGTACGGAGGCGGGGCAAGCGAAGAGGGTAGGAGCGAGACACCCCTGTCTTGAACACGGCCGACTGTCAAGCGCTTCCCTTTGTACGTGGGAGTGGGCGGCAGCAGGTACAACAACACCGCACGTGGTTAAGGAGTATGTCGCAGGCTTTGTACCCGAGCAGGGAGGAGGAGCGTGGCGGAGGCGGCGGTAGCCGCAGCGAGACGGTGGTGACGACGCGACCTCGGTCGGGGGCGGTGCTGCAGCGGAACGGGCGGGCGGTGGTGGACTCTGCTGGCCGCAAGGCAGTCCGTGAGCTGCGGCACAAACCATACTCGCTGGCGACGGGGACAGGGCGTGCGCTTGCCGACGTGGAGCCCAATGTGCTTGCCGGCCCGGGTGGCACACGTGTGGCGCGGCGGTCTTCGGAGGCTGGGAGGGTTAATTCGCTGCCGCCCGGCCCGCTACCGTCGGCAGGGCTCTCTATCAAGGAACGGCGGGTGAGGACAGGTGTGTCGTCGTTGTCAACGTCGTACACAGCGTCGTCGGTCTCGTCGTTGGTGACGTCGGCCGGCTCGGCGCCGCGGATGCAGATTTTTGACGAGGGGGCTCAGGAGCCGTCGCCGACGCGTATGCGTCCGGTGGCCGGGACGATCCGCGCTGCGGACGGGACAGTCTCGCTGGTACACCGGACAACGGGCGAGCGTGTGGCGACGTCAGCGTCGCCGCGGCGGTCGCTCTCGTCACGAAGGGCGGCGGAAGTGCGGCGGGAGTCGCGGGCGTCGTCGACGCGTTCGCGCGGCTCCAGCTCGCGGGCGTCGCGGCTGGCGCGGTCGGGCTCGTCGTCGTCGTCGATAGGCACGTCGCCGCTGATGCCGTCGCCCAACGATGAGCTGCAGCGGCTGCGGGCACAGGTCCAGCACGAAGCTGGTGAGTTGGATCCCGAGGTGCAGGGCGTGCTGGCGTTGGCGCGGACGAGGGCGCTGTCGCACGTTATCGCACGGCCGCGGCCACGGCTCCGGCGGTCGCACTCGATGGCAGCACCGTTTAACGTGCACGCCAACGGTGTGCGTGACTCGCCGTCGAAACTCATGCGCAGCCTCTCGCTCTACTCGCCGCACTCGCAGCATAAGCGGCGCGATCTCCCGACGCCAGACCTCGATGTTGGAGCGATGGAGCTCTCTGTCGATGTTGGCAACTCACAGGGCGGGGCCGGAGGAGGCCGGACGGTCACGCCTTGGCGGGCCGAATACCTCGATGGCCCGCTCCCGACGACGCGCAACATGGTCCGCGAGTGCTCGGGCGTGTCTGCGGACCTTGTGGCGCAGCTACTTGTGGAGACGCAGCAGGCGCCAGCGAGCCGCGAGCTTAACTTTCTCATCATCGACTGCCGGTATCCGTACGAGTACCAACACGGACACATTGCGAGTGCGGTCAACTTGTGGACGCGGTCGTCGCTCATCGATGCACTGATCCAGTCGCCGTTGCCGGCCAACTTTCGGCTCATTTTCCACTGCGAGTTCTCGACACAGCGCGGGCCAGACCTGTGCTCGATGCTGAGGCTGGCGGACCGGCACGTAGGGATGGAGAAGTATGGAGTGGCGTTTGATGAGAGCCATCTTCACTATCCCAACTGCTACGTGCTCCGCGGCGGATACAAAGAGTTCTTTGGTGCGTACCCGGAGCTCTGCACACCGAGCGCGTACATGACGATGGACGATGAGCGGTACAAGTATCAGCTCGCGGCGTGCCGGCGCCACCGGTCCTCGTCAATTCGCGAGCGGTCGCGGTCGTGCTCGGACCTGGCAGCAGTACTCGCCGGCGAGCCGACACTGTTCGCGCCGGCGGCGAGCCAGCCGCCGCCTCTCTCCAGGAACAAGCTCGCGACGCCGGGGCGATGGAACCACGCCCCGCGGTGGGAGCGGGAGAACGCCATGCCCGAGTTTGCGTCAATTCTGGCGCAAGCTCTCCCGGACGTGACTGAGGAGAACGCAAGCGTGCACCCGCTCATTCGGCGGGCGCGTATGGAGCTTGCACATGCGCTGGCTACCACGCCTCTGGCGTCGCGTGCCGCGTCTGCAGCGCTGTTTGCGCCGGAGCGTGCACTGGCGTCGCGGGCATCCAACGCAGCGTCGATCTCGGACTCGGACGACGACTGCTCGACGGTCTGGGTGGACTCTCAGCAACGGGCCGGCTGTGGGCTGAGCGGGTATGTGTCGTTTGACGACGACGACGAAGACGACGACGACGTGTGCCCCGAGAACAGTGTGGAAACAGCAGATCACCTCGTGTTACCGCCTGGGACCGGATCGCCGCGTGCCGTGCCTCGACCGATTTCATCGCGGCGTGCCCTGGTGCGGCACCTCTCGCTATCTGCCATCACTGAGGATGACAGGGATTTTGAGAGCCCAAGCGGGTTGTGCGCATCGCCGGCATCAGGCGTGTTCAGTTCAGGGTCCCAGACGACGATCTCGCTCAGGGGAGCAGCAGAGCGTCCGTACAAGTTGGGCAGGCGGTCGCGACAGTTGTTGCAAGCAAGTGTGGCTGGATGCGAGTCGGACATCGACTCGGATGATGAGGACTCGTCGTCGTCGTCGTCGTCAGGCCCGATCATTTTCGCAGGGACAGCGGTGTCGACCTCGAACGGGATTGTGACGTCGGCCTCGCTTTCAACACTACTGGGTGAGTCGAGCGCACCGTCATCGCCGATGGTCATGGCGCCTGAGCCCCGGCTAGCGTCGTCGGATGAGGCACCGCTGTTTGTTATGGACGAGAGTGACGAATAAGTGTGTAGTAGCCGCAAAGCAAGGCAATGGAGTGTAGACACAGCTGCTTTGGCAGGTTGAGGATGTGGCGAGACAGATACGAGGAGCACAGGCAAGGAGGGGGATGATGTTTAGCACTGGCGCTGAGAACGCGGCTAAGCGAGATGATGCTGGGGAGGAGGAGAGGGCTTGGTACTCCCAAGTTGACGTAAGAATGCGAGTGCCACGACATGGAGAATCAGAATGTGGCGGGTGGACTACGAGAGCTTACGATGGCGACCAGAGGCGGCGGAGGAAGGCACGGAGGGGACGGTGGCGGGCAATCGGCGCAAGTGGCGGCTGGCGATGAGCAGGCTGGCGGTGACTGTGATGGGTAAGACAGGAAGTGCGAGGGAAGGAGTGGGTTGGAGAGCAAACTGGTAGTGTTTGCCATTGATATAGCTATCCGTATGCATCGCCTCCGATGCTCCGTCGATGGCTAGCTTGCCCTTGGCGGTGCCGGTGGTGGTCGGTCGGCGGCGGCGAGCAGCCGGCGATTGGCAGCGATGCTGTTGACGGGTTGGCGTCGGCTGATGTCAATATCGGGGCAAGTGAAGTGGATGCTTGGGTTTGCAGGGGTGATGGACATGTGTGGTGTAGGTGTGGTGGTTGTGGGTGAAGATGGTGGGGAGTGGGGGTCGGAGATGGGCCCGGGGAGGAGAGGTCAGCAGGTGGTTGTGGCTAGGATGATAGTGATGGTGGTGGGGTAGGGGGTGGAGGTGGTCGTTTGTGGTGACGGGTGGTAATGAGTATGGTAGGGGGGATGAGGGGGTCGTGACGTGGGTGACGGGACGGGCGAAGGGGTGGTGGGTATGGCGATTGGGCTTGAGCATTGATGAAAGTGAGTATGATACGGCTGATGGGTGTGTGTAGGGTGTGGGCGATAGGGGCGGCGGGTACTTGGCTGGCAGAGGGAAGGCGGCGGACGTTAATTGAGTTGAACGTTGAATTAATTGAAGAAAAGCCGGAACGGGCATCAAACGAGGCAATGACGTCCACAACAACAACCAAAGATCATACATGGCTTGCACAGCACACGTATGAGTACGCCAACAGGAACTGGATATGGCTGGCAGGCAATGGGATGAACTCGGGTGACGTTCAGGTCGATGAGGCAGACCGAGGTTGATCGATCAGATCTGCAGATCAACCATTACCACGACACAACAGGGTCAACACAAAATACACCGCATGCAAAACTATTAACCATGACTGACAACAACAAAGTTGAGAATCGATAGTGTAGTGAGCAGGCCCGATGGTGGATGTGGAAGTCAAGCTCGAAGAAAACAGGAGAATCAAGAACAAATGAAGCATGACGAATAATGATCCAAAGCAACGAGAAGAACGAAGACAATGATCAATGAAGATGCATGTCGATTGTAGTCAACCATCAAAGGCAAAAGTAACCACAGCAGAACATGAAGGCCGACAAAAGCAACAACAAAGCATGTGGAAACATGAACGGCAAAGAACAAAGAGCAAGGTCAGCCGACAAGAACAAAAAAAGAAAGAATCGAATGATCAATTGACAATGATCAATGACAATCAATTGAACATCAAACAATCGAACGAGTGACGAGCGGCGAATCATGAAAATGTTGAATGACATTCATGTCACCCACCAACCCGCACATGCCACTCGGCCGAACAAGTGACACGGGCAAGTGTCAATGGGGGGATGGGGATTGTGAATCAGCATCAAAGACTCAAATCACGCCCATGAACAGCCATGCACATGATGGGATGGAGGATGAGTATGGTGGCGTGGGTGGGAAAGTGGATGTGGGTCATGGATGGGATGCACAGGGGTGGCAAGGGGGCAGTGAGCGGCAAGTGGAGTGAGTGGTGGTCGGTGGGGAGGAATGGGGTGGGGCTAGGGTTGATGAGGCATCAGCTAGAGTTAGGGTTAGGGTTAGGGTTAGGGTTAGGGTTAGGGTTAGGGTTAGGGTTAGGGTTAGGGTTAGGGTTAGGGTTAGGTAGGTAGGTAGGTAGGTAGGGTTAGGGTTAGGGTTAGGGTAGGTAGGTAGGTAGG